TCAATTCAGTCCTCAATATTTCCGCGGTTATGTTTTCACGATAATCTACACTTGAATCTGAATACTGCGTTGTTAAAAAACAGGAACCTTCAAAAAACTATATTTTTGGTCGTATTATACTATATTGTTTGTAGTGGCTTTAAAATGTTTTGCAATTGCTACAAAAAAAAAAACGGGAAATACATATTCTTATGAAATTAAAAAAATAATGATTTCTTTAAAAAAATCATTTATATATATATATTTTTTTACTATAAATCAAAGTGTGCCCAACGGTGCAACCTGTCAAAATTTTCCGTTTGTCATACACCCTATCAAATTTCTTTGTGTTTCTAGTAAACGACATCGTTATTATTGCGATATCGGAGGTTGGGGCGTGACGTCATGCGCTGCCGTCGCCATTAAAACAAAAGAACGACAGTATCAAATGCCGCGTTTAAAGCAACGCGACTGCGAGCGCTTGGAGGATCTTTCTTTTTTCGCACAGTTTCCACCATTTGTTTGGTCTAGCTCGACGGACGGCTTTTTTTTCTATTCGACGCAAACTAGGATAAGGTTATCGGCCGAGTGCGCTCTTTCGAAGCAGGCCAATGACGATCGCGTAATACCAAATCAATCGGGACCAAAACTGTAACACGTCGGATAGGAATTCGAACCTTTAAATTCCGCACATTTTATTTGGCCGTTTATCTATCTTTATCCGAGCGCTCAATCTAAGAACGTTGTTTTTTTAGATAAACCCGCATAACGCAAACAATCGAAAGGTGATACGATAGGACTTCGTGGAATTAAATATACCCACTTTGCCTACCTCATTATGTCACGCCATCCGCTTTTCTGAGGTTTTTAAAACTTCTAAACTCCCGAAATCATTGAATGTACAACGTTGCCGAATTCGTGTTGGTTTCCGTTGGATTACAGCCAAACCGAAAAACCGTTGTGCAGAATGTTAAAATCTTACAAGTTAACGGTGAACGTTTCAAAATTGTGAATTGTAAAATTGGTGTTATATTTGATTGTGGAGTTAGATTCGTGGTGTTGGTGAAAAAGTCTTATTTGTTTTTGCACCATTTATACAGGCATAGAACTATCCTTAATTTCAGTTTACGGAAACTTTTATCTCGATCACTTGTCCTTTCGATTATGAACTTATTCTTTTTATTTTTACTTTTAGTAACTTTCTATTGTTCCATATTACTATTACATTTGTCTATTATACTGTATTTAATTTATCAACGTAATTATAACTTGCTATTTAGTTTTTAATTTAAGAGGTTAAGTGGAGTAGCTTTTGCTAGACTTCGCCTTTTCTCTACTGTCTGTTTGTTTATAACAATGTACAACAATAGAGGCAATTTATTGTTATTATTATTATTATAAAGTGATATTTCCTTCCGCCGCATCAAGTGATGTGGGACGTCGACACGGACTTACACCGTCGACTGTATCCACGATTTGGAAGTGCAAAGGAAAAATCATTCAGGCTGAAGCGGCAGGCAGTTCTAGTAAAAAACCAAGAAAGCCAAAATTCGAAGATTTGGATCGGGCAATGTTGCAGTGGTTCCAACAGCAACATCTTAAAAATGTACCACTCTCTGGGGCTATCGTAAAACTAAAAGCGGAAAAGTTTGCTGAACAGCTTGACATTATCGATTTCAAGGCTTCGGAAGGACGGTTGGGGAAGTTCAAACAGAGACATGGTATAAATTATGGACAGATAAGTGGCGAAGCCCGCGATGTCGACAGAAACGTCACTAACTATTGGCTGGAGAAGACGTGGCCAAAACTAGCAGAAAAGAACCCTGCTGGCGACATTTTTAATGCTGACAAAACTGGTAGTTTTTACAAAATGGCGCCAGATAAAACTTTTAAATTTCGAAGCGAAAATTGTGTGGGTGGAAAACTTTCTAAAGAACGTATAACAGTGTTAGTAGCTGCCAATATGAGTGGAAGAAAAAAAAGAAAGCTAGTCCTGATTGGAAAATTAACTAACCCACGATGTTTTAAGAACATCAAGCATTTGCCGGTCACTTACAAGGCAAATAAGTCTGCATAGATGAATTTTTGAAGAGGAGATGCAGAAATGAGATGCAGAATTAAAGGGGAGGAAAATATTACTTCTTCTAGATAACTGCCCTGCACATCCCCATATTCCAAATCTACAGAATATTGAATTGTCATTTCTTCTAGCCAAAACAACAAGTATATTACAACCGATAGACCAGACTGTAATAAAAAGTCTTAAAGAGTCGATACAGGAAAGACATTTTAATGGAAATTACCGAGTCCGAAGACAAATTTTCCATTAATATGCTAGATGCAGTCAACTTTATTACTAAAGCTTGGAAAGAGGTGACAACAGAAATAATTCAACACTTCTATCGTCGTGCGAGACAGAATTCACAGGACAGGACAGGACTTGGAAGATGATCAGGCACTAAGCTAGTGGATAAAACAGTTTCAAACAACAATTACGTTTTCAAGTGAGGAGTTGCAAGATTTTATGGTGATAGATCAGCATTTGGTTACAACAGCAGACTTGACAGAGAAAGCCATATTAGAACAAGCAAGAAAGGGCGAGGAAGAGCACCAAGAGGAAGAAGAAGATGAAGAAATTGATCTGGCACCACCACCAACCATTCAGCAAGCCGTATATTCAGTTAAGCTGCTAGAGAAATTTTTTATGTATCAAGGGGAAGATGTCCCTCTCGAAGAAATGGTGAAAATACAAGCCAAAGTAAAAAAAAATCAAAAGAAAATGAGCGATTATTTGAAACATTAGATATAGTTTTTTAAATATTTATATAAAATGTTCCTAAGTAGACGTTACAATATATTTATAAAAAATAATTAAATATTACAGAACACATATGCGTATTGTTGTTTTTCAAGTGCCTATAACTCTTATAATGAAAAAAAAAAGCAGTCCCTTCAATTTCGCTATATAGAGTTTCGACTGCATATAAAATATATTTTCATCCTGTTTTTTTCGAAATTAAGTCTCTTGCATAATAACCATAATTTACTATGGCCTACTGCTACAAAAAAAGTAAAAAATGAAAAAAAAAAAAAAAAGAAATTTTGAGGTTAATTTCTAAAATAACTTTTTGGTAATGTATATTTTTGAAAAGCTGAAATCTTAAAGCCTTAACCTTAAAGCTTCTGACGTCGTCCATATTTGTTGGTTTTTTCTCTCCCTGCTACTTGCAACTCCAAAGACCGCCGAGTTCGATAATGGTTGAAATAATTAAATCTAAAGCAGTCCATTTTTCCATTTTGGTTAAATAATAGGCGGTTTTTAATGTACGGCTGCTTAAATCGATTCGAGGCCAATCGAAGATCAGCGCAGATAAGCTTCACCGTCGCATTTTTCAATAGCCACTTGTGGTTTAAACAGAATTACCGTATCGCCTTCAAATACTCGGAACTCGAGTGGCTATGCGACACCGTAAAGGTATTTTCGGTTTAAATTCCGTTTGATTATCTTCGCCGTTCCAGAAATAAAAAAAATTTGATTTTTGTACCTTTTCACCTATCCATAAGTTTCTGCACGAAAACATAACGACACCTTAATACAATCAGCAAATATTCCTTTAAAGATTGTAAAAATAAATAAAAATTATTACAATATTGAACAAAAAGCGTATAATTTTATAAAGTTTGTTTTTTCTGAAAATTACTATTTAACAAAGTATTTTTAAAAAAGAAAACAGTTTCTCGAAAACCGACTGAAAAATTTTTCAAAAATGTACAAGAAAACTGGCTATAACTGAAAGACTGTGTTTAAGGGTTCTTTCACATAACGATATAGCCCGCATAAACAGCTAAAACTTTTCCATTTAACGTTTTTACCTATCGTGCAGGGTATTCAAGATATTCCGTATTGAAATATTAACAGTTGACTTAAGTTTGTAGTTATCGATTTCCCATATTTCAACCATTTAAGTCGGACTGATCCAAACTGTTCAAAATATTTTTAAAAATTGTTTCTTAGATATTTTGGGTTCCAGAAAAAAAAATATTTTCTCGAAAATTATTAACCTGCACGGAAAAATTTGTGAACCAAGAAATGCGGGAGATCCGGGATCACAACTTTTATTTCAGACATTTTACATTCTAGATATCCGCATAAAAAATAAAATTGCGAAAATGAATGAAACCTAACCAAACTAGTGCAAATTATTTAAAAAAAAACGGAAAAACGTAATTCTTTTCTGTTAATCAAAGCTTTAAAATACTACTATAATAGGATAAATCGTAAATATCTACTAAAATACTAAATATGTAATTATTTGAAAAATACCAAATTAAAGAACCTCAAAAATACAAATAAATATTCCTTGCGACTTTTTTGGAAAAAATACGTCTTGAGATTTCGAAAAACCGCCGTAGCTCGTTACAAAATATTTTTTTTCTTAATGTGAAAGCAGATGGGTAATATACCCCAAAAACTGTACATTTTATCTCATTTGACCTAGTTATAGCCATAGTGGCCTAAGGCATGACAATTGGGACAACCTATATAATACAGTGCCCGCGTTGAAGTTTGCACCATATGGCAACTATGTCTATTTTAAAATGAAAAAATTTTTGTCAACTTTTATTGTTTGATCAGAGGTTGACTGAAACTGAAACTGAAACTGAAACCAGTTTCACTCAAGCTTTGAAGAAGTCAACAGGATGATTGGCGAAACGTCAGCAAAAACCGACGCAGGAGGAATCCAGAAGTTTTGTAAAAAGTATTACAGTAGCTTGTGGAAGTTTCTTTGAAAACTTAAAAATATTTACCAAAGTCGACATCTTATATTAGAATCTTTTTTATATTTGCTTTTCATTGGCATTTCGTTTAAATAGTGGTAGCCACTTGTAGCCAAAATTTAACGCATAAAGATGTCTGTCAACCAATATTACAATAAAATTCAATTTTCTAAATAATCGTGTGACTTTAATTCCGAAAGTATAAACGTCTGCGATATTATTCTAAGCAGCGTCGTTTCCAGCTGGTCACTTGCATTATGAAACCAGCGAGAGCGCGTCGTTTCAAAGGAGAACCAACATGAGTCAACGGGATGAGGTGCAGAAGTTCGAGCAGGGACGCATCAAGGTCCTCCAGGAGGAACGCCTCTACATACAGAAGAAAACCTTCACGAAATGGATGAACTCGTTCCTGCAAAAGGCCCGGATGGAGGTGGAGGACCTGTTCCAAGACTTGGCGGACGGCCGTAAGCTGCTCAAGCTGCTCGAGATCATATCGGGTGAGAAGCTCGCCAAGCCGAACAACGGCAAAATGCGGGTCCACAAGATCGAGAACGTCAACAAGAGCCTCGCGTTCCTCCACACGAAAGTGAGGCTCGAGAGCATAGGCGCCGAGGACATCGTCGACGGCAACCCCCGCCTGATCCTCGGCCTGATATGGACGATAATCCTGAGGTTCCAGATCCAGGAAATCGAAATCCACCTGGACGAGGACAACGAGAGCTCGGAGAAGAGGTCGGCGAAGGACGCGTTGCTGCTGTGGGCGCAGCGCAAAACCAACGGATACGCGGGCGTCAACATCGTCGACTTTTCCGGCTCGTGGAGGAGCGGGCTCGGCTTCAACGCGCTGATCCACGCCCACCGTCCCGACCTATTCGACTACGACGCCCTCGTCAGCCGCAAGAACCTCGACAATTTGAACCACGCGTTCGACGTCGCGAGCAACGAGCTCGGCATCTCGAAGCTGCTCGACGCCGAGGACATCGACACCTCGCGTCCCGACGAGAAGAGCATCATCACGTACGTCGCGTCTTATTACCACACGTTCGCGCGGATGAAAAACGAGGAAAAGTCCGGCCGGAGGATCGCCAAGATCGTCAGCCAAATGGTGGACGCGGACAAGATGAAAATCAGCTACGACAAGTTTGTCACCGACTTACTGGAGTGGATAAAAACGAAAATCGGGCAGCTGGAGGACCGGCAGTTTCCCAACTCGCTGGAGGGCATCCAGACGCTGCTGCTCGCCTTCGGCCATTACCGCACGCGGGAGAAGCCGCCCAAATACAAGGAGAGGAGCGAGATCGAGGCGCTGTACTTCAACATCAACACGCAGCTGAAAGAGCTGAGGCAGCCCGCGTTCACCCCGCCCGACGGCAAGCTGGTGCAGGACGTCGAGAGGGCGTGGGACGTATTGGAAAAGGAGGAGCACCGCAGGGAGGGCGCGCTCCGCGACGAGCTCCTCCGCCAGCAGAAGCTCGAGCAGCTCAACTATAAGTTCGAGAAGAAGAGCATCCTGAGGGAGAGCTACCTGAAGGAGATGATCCAGGTGTTGTCGGACCCGAGGTACGGCTCCAATCTGGCACAGGTGGACGCGACCGTTAGGAAACACGAGGCGATCAGCGCGGACATCTTGGCGCGCGAGGGCAGGATCCACGACCTCACCCAGATGTGCGAGGACCTCGTACGCGAAAAGTACCGCAACTCGGAGAGGGTAAGGAGGCGCGAGCGCGACATTATCGCCCAGTGGGAGGAGCTGATCGGCCTCCTCGACAAGCACAAGACCAATTTGACGAGGATGGGCGCGGTGATGGCGATCCTGAGAGAGATAGAGACGACGCTGTCGAGCGTCGAGCAGCTGCGTATCGACCTTTCGTCGTCAGACACCGGCATCCACTTGATGGCGGTCGAAGACCTGCTGCAGCGCCACGCGCTCCAAGAGCTCCAGATCACGTCGCTCGGCGAGACGGAGCGCAAACTGACGCGGTCCGGCGAGCAGGTGGCCGCCAACAACCCGAAAGAGGCGGACGTGCTCAAGGATCGGCTGCGCGAGCTGGCGCGTGCTTACGCGCACCTCAAAGAAGCCGCGATCGCGAGGAAAACCGCCCTGGAGGAGGCGCGGAACTTTTACCAGTTCCTGCAAGATCAAGAGGACGAGGAGGCGTGGCTCGTCGAGAAACAGAGGATATGTCGGGCGGGGATCGCGGCCAAGGACCTGAGGGGCGTGGTCGCGCTCCAGCAGAAGCATAAGGTGCTCGTGGACGAGATCAAGGCTCGCAGGAACAAGTTCGACCAGTTGGGGGCGGTCGGGCACCAGCTCACTGCCGAGCGCCACCCCCGGTCAGCGGAGATCGCGCGGCACCTCGAGCGCAACGAGAAGGCGTGGCAGACGTTGGAGGAGATGGCGGCGGAACGCGCGAAGCAGCTCCAGGACGCGGTCGAGGCGTACCAGTTTTACGCGGACGCGAACGAGGCCGAGTCGTGGTTCCTCGAGAAAGAGTCGATCTTGTCCTCGAAGGATTTGGGCGGGGACGAGCCGAGCGCGCAGTCGCTGCTCCAGAGGCACAAGGACCTCGAGAGCGAACTGCTCGCCTACGGCGGCGACATCCAGAGTCTCAACGCGCAGGCGGAGCGCCTCATCGAGCGCGGCATCTCGCACCTCGACCTCAACGTCGACGCCGACGCGGTCGACTCGCTCCCGGAGATCGAGTACGAGTACAGGATGGTGGCGACCGAGGTGTATGAAGACGAGCCCGTCGAAAAGGTCGAGTACCGCAACGCGGTGGAGGAACGTAAGGTGCCCCAGGTGAGGGCGCTGTACCCGTTCAGCGACCACGGCCTGACGATGATCAAGGGCGAGGTGATGTTCCTCTTGAACAAGAGCAACCCCGATTGGTGGTGCGTGCGCAAGGCGGACGGCACGGACGCGTTCGCGCCCGCCAATTACGTGGTGGAAATCGAGCCGCGCGTCATCCAGATCAACGTGCGCAAACCGGAAACGGTGAAGACAGTGCAAAAGGTGAAGAAGACGAAGATGGTGAAGACGAAGGTGCCGGCGAAGGTGCGCCGACCGATGCGACCCGCCAAGAAGAAGACGGACGACGGCGACAGCATCCCGAGGCGCATCGAGAAGATCAACGAGACGTACGCGAGGCTGAAGGGCGTGGCGGCGACGAGGAGGGCGCTGCTCGAGGACGCGCGCCGGCTGTTCCGCTTCTACAAGGAGTGCGACGACTTCGAGAGATGGATCGGGGACAAGGAGAGGATGCTGGCGGTGGACGACCCCGACGACAGCGTGCTCCAGGCGAAGAGGAAATACGAAAAGTTCCTCACCGATTTGTCGGCGAGCACCAAGCGCGTGGAGGAGCTCGAGGCGGAGGCGGGCGAGTTCGAAGCACAGAACCACGCGCAGATCGACAAGATAAGGGCGCGCCTCCGCCAAATCCGCCTCGGCTGGCAGAAGCTCAACCGGCTCAAGGCGTCGAAGGAGAAGAGCCTCGAGGGCGCGAGCAGCGTGGAGCTGTACAACAAACTGTGCGAGGAGGCGCGCGACTGGATGCTCGAAAAGATGACGCAGCTCGAGTCGAACGTGATCGGCCACGACCTGAAGACGGTGCAGGCGTTGCGGCGGCGCCACGACAACCTGGAACGCGAACTCGCGCCCGTCGAGGAGAAGGTGTCCAAGGTGACGCTGCTCGCGAACGACGTGCAGGCGACTTATCCGAGCGAGCGACTCAACGTGTCCCGGAAGCAACGCGAGATCGACGAGCTGTGGCAGAAAGTGAGACAGAAGGCGGTCGAGAGGCGGGCGCGCCTCGAGGACGCCGTCGGCCTGCAGATCTTCACCGACGGCGCGCGCGAGCTGCTCAAGTGGGTCGCCAGCGTCAAGGACAAGCTGAACGCCGAGAACGTTGTCAGGGACGTGCAGACCGCCGAGGGTCTGATCAAGGAGCACGGCGACATGCGGGGCGAGATCGGCGCCAAAGAAGACGAGTTCCGGCAGCTCGCCGAGCTCGGCGAGAAGCTGCTCGAGACGAACCCGGAGCTGCGCGAGGTGCGCGACCTCGTCGACAGGCTCGACGCCGAGCAGGCGGCCATCGCCAGAGGGTGGAAGGAAAAGGACCGGTGGCTGGACCAGTGCCTGCAACTGCAGCTGTTCATCAAAGAGGCGGACAACATCGACGCCATCACTTCCGCGCACGCCGCGTTCCTCGAGTACTCGGACGTCGGGGTAAGGGGGCGGGAGGTTCGAGATGATCGTTTTCTGTGAGCGTTTGTTTCCAGAACTCGCTGGACGAAGTGGAGGCCCTCCAGAAGCAGCACCGCGCGTTCGACGACACGCTCTCCGCGCAAGACGAGCGGCTCGCCGCCCTCGCCAAGAGGGCGGACGCGTTGATCGCGAGCGGTCACTACGAGAGCGCCGGGTAAGTTGGGAGGCGTGGCGGGGGTACCGGGTTTGACGGGGTTTTCGACGTCGCAGCATCGCCGAGAGGCGGGACCGCGTGCTGGCGCGGCGCCAGAATGTCAAAGAGCTGAGCCGGAAGCGGGCGAACGCGTTGGACGCGTCCAAAAACTACCAAGAGTTCACCGCGGAGGTGCACGACCTCCGCTACTGGCTGGCCGAAAAGTGCAGGACCGCCTCCGACGAGAGTTACCGCGACCTCAACAACCTCGAGCGGAACCAGCAGAAGCACGAGGCGTTCGAGCGGGAACTGAGGGCGAACGAGGGTCAGCTGCGCGCCGTCACCAAGCTCGGGTCCGCGCTGATCGCCCAGGGCGTCGTCCAGAAGGACGACGTTGCTAGGATCTTGAGTCAGCTGAACGACAACTGGAAGAGCCTGGTGGGCAACTCTCTGGGCAAGACGCGCAAACTGAAGCAGGCGGCCGTGCAGCAGGAGTACAACGCGGCCGTCGACGACGTCAAGATCAAGTTCGACGAGATCGATACTAGTCTGAGAAGCGTCAACGTCGGCACCGACCTGCGCTCGTGTCGGGAGCTCCTCAAGAGACACGAGGCGCTCGAGAAGGAGCTGCGGCAGTGCTCCGCGAGGGTCGAGGACCTCGCAGGCAGGAGCCGTGACCTCGGCGAGGAGGGACACTTCGACTCGGAGACCATCCGCGAGAACGCGCTGGCGTCGCAGCGGAGACTGAAGGAGCTCGACGAGCCTATCCGGCAGAGGCGGGCCGCGCTAGAAGAGGCGCTCGAGTTTTACAAGTTCCGCTTCGAGATCGACCTGGAGCTGCAGTGGATCGGGGAGCGTCTGCCGCTGGCGGCGTCAGAGAACTTGGCTCAGAACCTGCACCAAGCCCAGAATTTACACAAGAAGAACAAGAAGCTGCGCGCCGAGATCCTCGGACATCGGCCGGTGATCGACAAGGCGCTCGAGCAGGGCGGCGCGTTACTGAACAGGAACCACCCGGACGGGCAGCTGATCAGGCGGCTGTGTGACGAGCTGCGCGCCGCTTGGGCCGACCTGAACGATCGCGCGCAGAAACGCGGCGAAAAGCTCGAGCTATCGCTCAAGGTGCAGCAGTACGTGTTCGAGGCGAACGAGGTAGAGTCGTGGCTGAACGAGAAGGCCGACGTACTGGCGGGCAACGATTTCGGCAGGGACAGGGACTCCGCGACCAAGCTGTTGACGAAACACAAGGCGCTCGAGCTGGAGCTCGACACCTACCACAACATCATATCAGAGATGGGCCACGGCGCCCAGGCCATGATCAAGCTCGAGCATCCCGACTCGAAGCTCATCTCCGAGCGGCAGTCGAGCTTGGAGCACCTGGTGCGCTCGCTGCAGAGGAAGGCTGCCGTCAGGCAGCACCGCCTCATCGAGTCGCTGTTGCGCCACGAGTACTTTGCCGAGTCCGAGGAACTGGAGCGGTGGATCTCGGAGAACCTGCAGCTCGCCTCGTCGTCGGACTACGGCCGGGACTACGAGCACCTGCTGGTAAGAGCGCCCGAGAATCCTAAATATAATGATCGATTTTTATATCCTTGTATCTTCAAATTTTCGTATTCAATCTTTGGAAGTCATCTTCGAAGCTCGAGTTTACAAAAAAGTATTATTCTAATTCTAAATTTATAAAATTTGTTTATATCTTTAAATTTTCGGATTCAGTCTGTGGAAATCGAGGCTCGAGTTTTGTAAGACTTATTTTTTAAAGTCCAGGTATTCAGCATTAAAAAAAAAGTTATAATGTATTTTATAAAGACTATTATTAGCGCATTATCAACCGGGCTTATTTTTTAAATGTAAATTGTCCCTCAAGATGCGCGAATTGAGGCTATAAAATGTAACAGCTAAAACTTGTCTGCTGATTTGGTACGATTTTTTTTCTCATTTGACATGCCTCTTTACTATACAGGGCGGCCCATAATAAAAACGTCAAGAAGCAATCGTAGATTGAACCGTAACTTCGCTGATTAGATAGAGGGTGTGTTAAAGGTTCACACAGTTTTCGAGATATCCACATGAAACCTTAAACTCTTTTTTTTTTTTGCGACGAGAAACACAATCACGTTCTATTTTTTCCCATAAAATGTAAAGGGCGATAAAATCTCGCTTTTTACACCATAATTTTTTGTTTTTTTGTAAATTGTAATGGAGCGATGATTTTTATTTAAAAATTTTTTATTTATTTATTTATTCATTCAAACCTAAGAAAAATATAAATACAGTTTTAAATAGGTTATGTGTTAATTATGACACATTGGTGTGAGCTGGCACAAGAAAAATAAGCATTTTTCCGAAATGTAATGTGAGTGAGCTTCCATTTACCTGATCTTACGTCTTTTATGGATCTCCGATCTCATAATGTACAATAATAATAATAGTATAATAATTTTAACAAACAAATAAAAAAAAACAAACAAAAGAATAAGAAGTAGAAAACAATTTAGAAATGAACTCTTTAGATAAAAACTTGGTGATATTAAGCAAAAAGGAGTGTGAAACATTCGAAACAAAGGCATACTTTAATTCCAAAGGGCGGCGTAAAAGCAAACTGATGCCAACGAATTTGATTATTTGTTAACGTTTTAGTTTTATTTTAGTCAGTTGCCATTTAATTAAAAAAAAAAAAGTTAAAACGGAGTTTAAAACAAGTTCCCAAGCAAAAGTCACTTTTCAGCTACTCAAGAGCAAGTTCGACGACCTGAAACACAACGTCGAGACCGGGACGGAAAGGTACAACCAGTGCGAGGCGCTGGCCCAAAAACTGCTCGCCAACGATAGCCCTTACGCCGTCGACATCCAAAACAAACAACACCAGCTCGAGTAAGTTAGGTCCCGGCCCTTCTTCCCTTCGCTCCGTAACTAACCCTCCTCCCACCACTAACCGCGGTGTTTTAGAACCGACCCACGTCCCTCGCACGTCCCCCAGGAGGTGGAAGAACGGCGTCGACACGTCAGGTAACGTATCGTTCGGTAGCGCGCGGGTCCGACTGACGTCTTTCTGCGCAGGCACGCGTGGGAAAACCTCCGCGAGCAGCTCAAGAAGCGAGAGGAACGTCTCAATAGCGCCGGCGAGGTGCACCGCTTCCATCGCGACGTCACCGACGCCCTCCAGCGGATCCAAGCGAAGGACGCGGCCCTCGGCACCGATCTGGGTCGCGACCTCAATTCCGCCGTCGCCCTGCTGCGCAAACACGAGGCGTTCGAGAACGAGCTGGTCGTGTTGGAGGCGCAGCTGCAGTTGTTGGTCGAGGACGCGTCCAAGCTGCACGCCGCCTATCCCAGCAACAAGAACAACATCCGGCAGCAGCAGACGCTCGTGGTGGACGCGTGGAACGGCCTCAAGGAGAGAGCGGACCTGCGCAAGGACCAACTCCAAGCGAGCGTCGACCTCCAAAGGTTCCTCGCGCAGGTGCGCGACCTCACCAACTGGGCGACCAGCCTGAGGCTGTCGATGGGGGCGGAGCAGAGCGTGAGGAACGCGGCGCGCGCCCAACTCCTCAAAACCGAACACGAAGCGCTCAAGGGCGAGATCGAGGCGCGGGAGGCAGACTTCCGGGACGTCGCCGACAATCTGGCCGCGATGGAGCAGACCGGCCATTACGCGGCCACGGAGGCCGTCGACAGGTACCGGAACCTGATCGAGGAGCGGGAACGCCTCCACACCGCGTGGCAACTGAAAAAGGTGCACCTGGACCAGCTGTGCGACCTGCACATATTCCTCAGGGAGGCGCGCCTAATCGAGGACGCGACCAACGCGCAAGAGGTGACGCTGAGCAACGCGGACTTCGGCGAGACCGTCGACGAGGTCAACAACCAGCTGAAACGGCATGAGGCGTTCGAGAAGCTGGTCGCGATCCAGGACAAGAACCTCGAAAGCCTGATCCATTCGGGCGATAAGCTCGTCGCACAGAACCACTTCGAGAGCGCCAAGATCGGCCAAGTCCTCGAGCAGGTGCGCGCGAAACGGGACGCGGTCCATCGACTCTGCGACGCGAAACGCGAGGCGCTCCGCGACGCGGTCCTCTACGCCGAGTTCAACCGGGACGTGGGGGAGACGATGGTGTGGATCGCCGAAAAGCAGAAGAAACTCGAGTTCGAGGGCAGGATGGCCGACGATATCGGCCTCGAGGAGAAGATCAAAAAGCTGCAGCGGCACCAGGCGTTCCACGCCGAGGTGACCGCGAACGTCGGCCGCATCGAGGAAATCAAAACGGTGGGCCGCGAGCTCGTACGCAAGGGCCACCACGCGTCCGACGACGTCGGGGGCAAGCTCGCTCAGTTGGACAGCGCGTGGAGCCGGTTCCTGGCGGAGACGAAGCTGAGAGGCCGCGGCCTCGAGGAGGCCCAAGACATTCTCGAGTTCAACAGTCTGCTCGACAAGATCGAGGCGTGGATCCGGGAGAAGGAGGTGATGATCCACTCGGGCGACACGGGCCGCGACTACGAGCACTGCCAGCTACTGCTGCGCAAGCTCGACGACGTCGGCAGCGACATGCGCGTCGACGACGCGAGGATACGCAACGTCAACGCGCTGGCCGAGAAACTGGCCCGGCAGGGTCACGAGGGAGCGGTCGAACGCAGGGACCACTTCGTGGCCAAGTGGCAATCGCTGCAGGGCGCGTTGAGCGGCTACAAAGCGAAGCTGAGCGCCGCTCTGGAGGTGCACCTCTTCGACAGGGACGTCGCGGACACCCTCGAGCGCATCCAGGAGAAGTACGTAGCGATGGACGGGGACGACGCGGGCAGGGGCGTGGCCGCGGTCGAGAGCCTCGTCCGTCGCCAGGAGGCGCTCGAGATTGAAATCAAGGCGATCGAGGACAAGGTCCGCGTCCACGAGGAAGACGCGCGCGCCCTTCGAGCCGAGCACCGAGACGGCGAGGACCACGTGAACGCGAAGCTCCGCCTCCTCGCCGACCATCTCGACAAACTCGACAAGGCGAAACGGAGACGCAGGGAGGCGCTCGAGAGGGCGTACTTGCGAGAAAAGTTCCTCGCGGAGAGCGAGGACCTCGAGCTGTGGGTGTCGGACACGGTGAAACGGATGGAAGCGACGGGCAAACCGAACAGCGTCGCCGAGGCGGAAGCGCACCTCGAGCTCCACAACGAGCTGCGTGCGGAGATAAACGGACGTCGGCAGCTGTTCCGGGATTCGATCCGCGCGGGAGAAACGTTCGCGGAGAAAGACAACCCCGCCGTCGTGGAGAGCGTGGGCAGACTGCGCGAGCTCGAGCGGGCCATCGACGAGGCGTGGGAGCGACGAAAGGAGCAACTGGCACGCGAATACTCGATCCAGGACTTTAAGGAGCAAGCGAACCAGATCAACAACTGGCTCGCGACGAAGGAGGCGTTCCTGAACAACGACGACGTGGGCGACACGCCGCGCGCGGTCGACAAGCTGCTGCGCAAACACCAGGACTTCGAGAACTTGCTGGAGAGGCAGCTGTTGCGCATCGGTGAGCTCGAGGTGGCGGCCGCGAAGATTGCGGAAAGCGCCGAGGTGAGCAACAGGCTGAAGGCGATCGCGGCTCGCAAGGAGCGGCTGCTCGAGCGGTGCCGCGAGCGGAAGGACGTGCTCGACAAGTCCAAGGCGCTGCAGCGCTTCTTGCGCGACGTCAACGACGTCGAGATCTGGCTGAACCAGAAGCTCGCGGTGGCCGGCGACGAGAGCTACCGCGACCCCACCAACCTGCAGAACAAGATCCAGAAGCACGCCACCTTCGAGGCGGAAGTGATGGCTAGCAGCGAGCGACTGCAAAGCGTCGTCGAGGAGGGCAAAGAGCTGATCGCCGCCGATCACTACGCCGCGAAAGAGATCGGCGTCAGACTGGACGAGTTGGAGAACGACTGGAAACACCTGATGGAGACGTCCCACTTGAAACGGGACCGCCTCAACGAGGCCTATCAGGCGCTGCTGTTCACCAGGTCGCTGGAGGAGTTCGACGCGTGGCTGAGCGAGGTCGAGCTGCAGGCGCGATCGACGGAGACGGGCAGAGATTCGGCGACGGCCGCCAATCTGCTGAAGAGACACGCGGCCCTCGAGAACGACGTGCTGCAGCACACGGAAAACTGCGAGCAAATCGACGACGGCGCCGAGCAGTTCGTCAAGAGCGAGCACTTTATGAGCGAGGAGATCAAGGCGGAAGCTGAAGACGTCGTCACGCGGTTCCACCAACTCGCGGAGCCGCTCCAGGCGAGGAGGGACCTGCTCGAGTCGGCCGCGATGCTGCTCCAGTTCACCAGGGACGTGGACGACGAGATCCGCTGGTTGTCGGAGAGGGAGGCGAGCGCCGCGTCGCCCGACCTCGGAGCGAACCTCTCCGAGGTGCGGAGCCTCCACAAGAAACACCAGTCGCTCGAGGCGGAGCTCGCCTCCAGGGAGCCGATCGTCTCCGGTTTGGTGTCGCGCGCCAATAATCTGATCGGGGCCAATCATCCGTCGGCGGACGCGATCAAGGACAAAGCGAACCAGGTCAGGACGCACTTGGCGCAGGTGCGCGACCTCGCCAGCGTCAGGAAGCTGCGTCTGCAGGACGCGCTCGAGGCCCACACGGTAAGCTCGCTTATATACGGTCCGGAGGGGGGCGGAGCTAAAGGAGAGACGCGTTTGCTTGTTTAGGCTCGATATGCGGGCCGTGTTCTAATCGAATGTCGAGCACTGCTAAATGTCACTGATGACCTTTTTAGGGCTCAGGATGTGTCAAGAAATACTTTTTTGATTTTGTTAGATTATAGCAAAGCCTTAAATCATAGACCTCTTATTTTAAAGGTGAAGTTCTTCAGTTTAACCGACACCGCTATTGTTATGAAAAGTTACTTGGAAAATCGCCGGCAGAGGGTTACGCGTTGACGCGGTCTGACTTTCTGCTAATTCTAACGGGAGTTCCGCAGGGCAGCATTTTGGGACCTTTATTGTTCTCTATTTACTATATACTATATACTATATACTTATGATTCTCGGTCAAAGATGTAGCCTGAATGATTTCTAGAATCTCCAAAGCCCATGGTCTGAAATTAAATGATTCCAAGATCCAGGTTGTTCTTTTTCGTAATAAAAGAGAGGAAATTATCCAGTAAAAAGATCTGAAGCTTTCTTTGAATGGTATTCCGCTTGAATTTGTTGACAAATATAAAAACTTAGGAATCTTTCTTGATAGTAAGCTGATTTTTGATCGTCACTTGTCTTATCTACTGCAGAAGTCCTACGGGAAACTGGAAGTACTTTACATGTATAAAGACTACTTATCTATTGAGATTAGACTTAAATTGTGTGACTCTCTTATACTCGCTCTGTTAGGATATGCGGACGTAGTATACTGGCCGGCTCTAAGACGGAAAGACCAACACAGTTTACAAAAATTGCAAAATGCCTTCTTGAGATACAGCTATGGTTTGCTGAAAGATATTTTGTGCATCTGCCTACGTTAGTGTATTTTTATTTCGTTGTATTTGCGCAAAACGTTGTTAGGCAGTTATATTTTAAGGGGAAATTATAAGGGGGCACTTGTTAAAGTTTTGTTTTCTCCCCGTGAACCAGTTCTATCAAGAGGCGGCGGAGGCGTCCGCGTGGATCCAGGAGCGCAGACCTTTCCTGGCGACGAGGGAGGTGGGCCAGGACGAGGACGGGGCGCACTCGTTGCAGCGGAAGCTGGAGGCCTTGACCGCGGAGGTGAAGAATTTCCAGCCCACCGTGGACCGACTGAAACGCGTCGCGGACGGCTTCATCGAACGCGAGCACTTCGATTCGGCCAACGTGGCCGAGCGGAAGAACCGCCTGGAGGACGAGTTCGACGACGTCCGCAAGCTGATATCGGAACGGGAAGTGAGGCTGAGCGAAGCCCTCCAGTATTTTGGGTTCGTCCGCGAGTGCAACGAGGTGCAGGAGTGGATGCGCGACCAGGTCAACAGGACCGACTCGGACGAGTACGGCAACGATCTCGAGCACGTGGAGCTGCTCATCCAGCAATTCGACACGTTCCACGCGAGCCTCCTCAACAGCGAGCCGCGCATCGTCCAGTGCATCGAGAACGGCTACGCCATCATCGACTCCAAGAGCGGCTACAGCGGCGACGTGCAGCAAAAGGTCACCGAGCTGAAGAACGCGTGGGACGACCTCTTGGAGTTGGCGAACGCGAGGCGCGAGGCCCTAGCGGGCGCCAAACAGGTCCACCTGTTCGACCGCACCGCGGAGGAGACGACCTCGTGGATCCAGGAGAAGGAGTCGGACCTCATCTACGGCTCGTACGTCCAGGACTCGGAAGCGGTCGAACAACTGACGAGGAAGCACCAGGCTCTCGAGACGGAAATGAAGGCTATCAAGGACAAGGTCGATTACATCGAGCTGGAGGGCGACCGACTCGTGGCGGAGTTCCCCGACACCAAGGAGCACGTCGACGACAAACGGGACGACACTTTGGCCGCGTGGGAGGACCTCAAGCTCAAAGTGGAACGGCAGAAGGACTACCTGCAGCAGAGTGAGCTGCTGCAGTCGTACTTTGACGAGTACCAGGATTTGCTGTACGAAAGTCCGGCCCAGCTGTTGCTTATTTTAATACGGGGCCGTTTCCAGGGCGTGGATCAACGAGACGCTGGCCAAGATCACGGCTCCCGACCTGCCCCAGGACTGCTCCGAGGCGGAGCTGTTGATTGAGCGACACAAAGAGTACAAGACGGAGATCGACGGCCACGTGGCCATCTTCGCCAAGTTCTACGAGGACGGTAGGCAGTTCATGGACCGCGGCCACTACCTCACCCAGGACATCGAGGACAAGATCACGATCCTACGGCAGCGGATGGAACTGCTGGCGAACACGTGGGGCCAGCGGAGCGTCATCTACGAGCAGAACCTCGACGTACAGCTGTTCAAGCGGGAGGCGAACGCGCTGGAGAATTGGCTCGCGGTACGTGAGGGAGTCCTGCGGGACGACAAGGTCGGCGAGACGATCGCCCACGTGGAGGAGTTGATCAGGAAGCATCGCGACTTCGAGGAAGCCGTGAAGGCGCAAGAAGACAAGTTCGAGGCGCTGAAGCGGATGACGTTGCTCGAGGAGGCGTTCTCGCACCAGCTGAAGCAGGAGGCGCTCGCGCGCAAAGCGGAAAAGGAGCGGCTCGAGCAGGAGAAGATCGAGCAGAGGAAACGGCAGGAGATGGCAAGGATAACGGAGCTGAGGCGGCAAGAGTCTGGCGAGCGGGAGCCGAGGTACGACGAGAGGCAGAACGGGACGGCGGCGCCGCGCGTGGCGCCGCAGCCCGCGTCGCCGCCCCCGACGGCGACGAAGCCCGCGGTGTCGCTAAGGAAGACCAACTCGGTGGCGCAGATGTTCGAACGCGACCGACTGAGGCGCGGCTCGGAGAGCTCGGTGAAGAGGGCGGAGAGCATGAAGGTGGGGCCGGCGGTGAAGCCGCCCAAACGGACGCCGTCGTTTACTACCCGCAGGAAGGGCTCTTTCAAGTCGAAAAATCACGGTGAGTATAACCGTGACCATAGATAAAAAAATGGTTTCGCACGATACAACTACCGTGCCGCCAACGTGTAAAAAAATTTAAACTGCAGAAGTAGTTTTGGTTTTGTTTATAGACGCGAGGACCGTGAGAGCGCTGAGAGGCTACCAAAAATAAAATATTAGGCCAATTTTTAAAGCATTAAGTCAGAATTTCTAAGAAACAAGTCATAACTTTCGACTTAAATCAAAATTTCTGAAAAACAATTCAATTCAATTCAATTTCTGCAAAAATTAGCCAGAATTTCTGAAAACATTGTGACAAAAGACTTAAGTGACGGCAACATTGTAAATACTAGACACCAAAATATTATGAAATTCTGTCAGTGGATTTGAAGTTTTCTTTCATTACTTTTACCAAAATTGTTATTGTTAAATATTAGTTATTTTATTGCTTCATCTACCTTTTCATGTTTATGTTTTTTTTTTAATCAGAAAAAACAGCTTAAATTTTTTAAATACAAATAAGTGAAGAATCTACAAAACTAGGTCATGTTTCAAATAGAACTTGACAAATAAAAAAATACAATTCAATTTAAATAATATGCCAAAAGACCTAAAACTGCCAATATTCTAAGTCAGAAATACCAATTTGTTTTTCAGAAATTCCGACTTGTTTGTCAAAAATTCCGACCCAAGTCAAACGTCGTTGCAGTTCAAACTTTCTGACTTAACCCAGAAATACTAAGGTGTTTCTCAAAAATTCTGTCTTGTTTCTCACAAATTTTGACTTATTTCGTAGAAATTCCAATTCATGGCAGGAATTCTATGCTGTTATTCAGCCATTCTGAGTTAAATCTAAAATGTGACATAGTTTTAAAAAAATACTGACTCGTTTCTCAGAAATTCTGACTTGTTTCTCAAAAATTCTAACTGAAGTTAGGAATTCTATCTTGTTCAAACATTCTGAGTGAAGTCACAAGTACTGACTTGTTTCTCAAAACTTCTGACATGTTTCTCAGAAATTCTGACTTGTTTCTTAGTAAATTTAACTCAATTAATGTTTTACAAAAATACTATTTGTTTCTCAGAAGTTCTCATTTGTTTTTTTTTCAAGTTTAATCCTTATTCCTCAAAAATATGCCTAATTAGACCAAAAACTATATTTTATTTGTTTTGACTTTTCAACATTTTCCTAGCTACCTTATTATTTGCAAAATTAAAACATATTTCCATCGGTTTCTCTGTACCTGCTCATATACAGTTTGAAATAGGCGGGGCTAAGAGATGGGCAAAATGATGACGAATTTATTTGAGACGCTACGTTGATGATACTTTTGTTCCTTGGGCTTCATCAGAGATCTTCTTGACCATCACTCTAACATTTTATGCCATTAAATTAGACCAATACCTTAATGCGTTGTCACATCACCGGAGCAGCCACACGAATCACATAACTGAAATCATAATTAAAACACCCAACACCTGCTCTTCTCTCTCATAATTACCACAGCGTTTCATCACATATTCAAAACGTCTCCGACCACATACCACACCACACTTATCACTTGTCCAAAAATCTCTCGGCATCATTGACTCCTCAAAGAAGAAATTCCAGACAGCAGGACACAGCTCATTCAGCCCCGCCCCCCCTCAAACCGTATATAAGCACGTGCGGCGTAACCGCGTTCTTCTCGAATTTATCTTCCTCCATCGCGCAGACGTGGTGCTGCCACCGGTGGAGGCTGAGGCGTTCCTCGAACGCAAGCAGATCCTGCTGCCTGGAGCGAAGCGCGCGTCCAACAGGGCGTGGAAGAACTCGTACACCGTCCTGTGCGGGCAGCTGCTTTGCTTCTTCAAGAACAAGGACGATTTCGCTGATAGCAAGGCGAGCGGCGCGCCCCTGAACATCCACAACGCTTCTTGTACCGTGGCCAACGACTACCAGAAGCGCAGGTACACCTTCAGGCTCGTCGTCACCGACGGCTCCGAGTTTCTCTTCTCCTGCGGCTCTGAGGTCGAGATGATGGACTGGGTGAACAAGATCAGCTTCCGGGCGAGGCTACCGCCCAGCCAGCAGCTGCTCCACTTCGAGATAGCGAAGGTAAGAGCGAGACGGTGCACCGTGGAACGATCTAACGTAAAGGCCGCCACAGATGCGCACGCTTGTCGCATTTTTTACGCAAAAGAAATTGGTCATAGGCCTGTCATATCAAGTTCTCGTATGAATGAAGATTACAACCTCAAGATCGGTTTGATTTAAAGAACTCGGCTACCTTGAGTTTTTTGACAAGCAGCAAACGATGCGAAGACTTATGTGTCCCCGATTTGTTTAGGTCGTTTGAAAAAAGCGGTACCATAAATTTGCGTTATATTTTTTTAGTTTCTGTAATTCTGTCTTAAGTCAGAAATGTTTAAATGTTTCTTCGACATTTTGACATATTTCTTAGATATTTTAAGATGTTTAGCAGAAATTCTGACATGTTTCTCAGCAATTCTGACCTATGTCAAAAATTCTGATTTGTTTTTCAAATTTTCACGTGTTTCTTAGAAATTCTTATTTAAGTCAGCAATTTTGTCATGTTTCTCCGAAATTTTAACGTGTTTCTTTAAAATTTTCTTTTTCCTTCGAAATGTTTACTTGTTTTTCAGAAATTTTGACATTTTTCTCTGAAATTTTGACTTATGTCTGGAAATTTTGGCTTGTTTCTCAAATATTATGATTTACATGTATCAGATATTTTCACTTATTTATTAGAAATTATTATATTTTTTCTCGAGATTTCTCACTTATTTTTCTGAAATTTTGATTTATTTTTTAGACTTTCCAACAAATTTTGGCTTTGTTTCTCAGAAATTCTAAATTTTGCCTCAGAAATTGTGACTCAAATTAAATATTCAGAAATTTGTAAATGCTTCTCCAAAATTTTGACATTTTCAGAAATTTTAAGATGTTTTGCAGAAATTCTTACATTTTTCTCAGAAATTCTGCCCTATGTCAAAAATTCTGGTTTATTAATCAAATTTTGACATGTTTCTTAGAAATTCTTACTTGATTTTCTTTTTGCTTCGAAATTTTGACTTGTTTTTCACAGATTCTGACTCAAGTCAGAAATTTTGACATTTTTCTCCAAAATTTTATTATTATTTATTAGAAATTAATATATTTTTTCTCGAAATTTCTCACTTATTTTTCTGAAATTTTGATTTATTTTCTAGAATTTCTGACAAATTTTGGCTTTGGTTCTCAGGAATTCTGACTTTTGCCTCAGAAATTCTGACTCAAATTTTGATATATTTTTCAGAAATTTTAAGATGTTTTGCAGAAATTCTTACGTGTTTCTCAGAAATTCTGATTTTTCTTTGAAATTCAAACATATTTCTATGAAAGTTTAACGTTTTTCCTAAATTTTGACTTGTTTCTCAGAAATTCTGACTTGTGCCTCAGAAATTCTGACTCAAGTCAGAAATTTAGACATTTCTCTCCGAAATTTTGACTTGTGCCTCAGAAATTCTGACTTGTTTCTCAAAAATTCTAACTAAACTAACCAAAACTAACATGTTTCTCAGAAATTCTCTCTCGAACACAATTCTCCGAAATAATGATTAATATTCGGGATGGTTATGAACTGATTTGAGAGTACCTTTATTTTTAAAGGTTATTATGAGTTTAGATGAATGTGAATTACGTGAATTGTTTTTTTTTCTAAATTTAAACGTAAGTAGTGACGTCAGACATTAATTTCTGGAACGAAGTGAATCAACATAAACCCGACAAATATTCCCGTTATAAATTTTTAGTGGCGTCAATTGTTTTTTTTTTCTTTTTTTTTATAAGGCCTTTAAAAAAATAAAGTTGTGCCTTTTGTATGGTATAAAAGAAAACTACACTTGACACACTTTCGGTTTGTCTCGCAGGACCCGAACGACGAGATGAGCTCACAGTCGAGCAGGACTTCGAGTCCGGACGTGGCGGACTCGGTGGTCCTGAGGCACGACCCGCAGGCCACCAACGGCGCTGCGGTCGGCTCGAGTCAGTCCGTCAATCGGCACACGCTCGGTGAGTCTCGTCAAAACTCGGCTGTATATACGGGGGACGTCCGAAAAAGAAAAGAAACGACTTCGTCCCATTCCGCGCCAGTGTAATGCGAAATATTATTAGTTCTATCAATTCCTCGATAAAAATATTACTCAAATTCTTGGTTCGCACTCGAGTGCTCACCTCCAGCTAACCTACTGGCAGTAACCATTATATACTTGTAATATTCCGTTTGCATTGCATTTAAAAGCATTTTTTTTAAACAAATAAATATGAGTCGCCCCATAAAAGAAACTAATTTGAAATTTGAAAGGGGACGGTTACCTGCGAATTTCAGAGCAAAGGTACACAATACGAAACGCGTCGTGGAAAATTTAAAAGATAAATCGAGATACAGGGTGTCAAACTTTTAAAAAAACTTGCTTCGGCCACAAATTCAAATTGGTTTTTTATTAATATATTTAACAACCGTTACCCGAACACAAAGACACGTTAGCTTGTCTCTAATTTAAATAAATAACTGTTTTCCTTTTCCTCAAAAACGATGAAAAATGCGAAAAAAACCTCGAGTGAGTGAGAAAGTTTCATTTGGGAAAACGAGCCCATTTTTTTAGGAATTGACACCCTGCATCTTCTGTCTTTTTTTTATATATAATGTATATGTAGATTCCAGAAATAAAATAAAAGCCCATTAGTCATTTTCAAAGAAAATTAAATAAATAAATTAGTAAATTGATGGTGGGTATGGATTTATCGAAATTTTGTGACCCAATTTTCCACTCTCAACTTGCAAAATATACGAGGCGCATGCGAATAGTGGCGAATATTTAAAATTTCCAACGACAGGAGGGGATCCGCCCCCGAGACGAGGTCCCACCCGCGATTCGGCGGAAAGTCCGCCCCCTCTGCCCACGACGGAACCCCCGCACGCGTACCCTTCGAAACGGTACTCGTTTGAAAACAGCGGACACCTTTACGGTTAGTCTGGAAGCATGCCCCTCTCTCTGTCACTTCTAACTATCACCTTCACTTTCGTCAATTTTGCATGTCGATTATTTTGCACCGCTTTTAACTCACAACCATGGTAGAAACTTGTATTATTTCCGTTCCAAGCTGCCGGAAAACGCGTATGGAAAATCGCACGTGAGTATAATTCCAGGGTCGGTGGGGCGAAGAGCTAAGAGTATTAAAAAAAAAACGGGAAAATATTTACTCTCCGCCACAACTTAAATTTTCCGAATCAATCTACAAAATTAAACACATCCAGGTTCCTCGCAACGCGACTCTTTTGATGCGCATAGCTTATTTTCCCAATTTGCAAAAGTACATTTCCAAAAGTATTTCAATGCAAATACAAATACTATTAATTAAATATATTTCAAATACGCTGTATTTAATTGCAGCTACATCGGCATTGTATTTAAAACTACTGCCTGTATTGATCACAGATCACAGAGACGGCAAAAAAAGTACTTAAATACAATTTTTCAAAACTGTATTTAACTGCAACTACATTAGTGTTGTATTTAAAAGTATTTACATACATAATTTGGATTATAAATTCAACGTTCAACACTAGTATGAGAACTAAGAAACTCATAAAAGAGCATTACATACAAGTAATACAGATACAATCATACAAAATATAAATATAAATTCATTATCCTTGAGTGAGCTGGGTAATTGTTGTTATTGTTGCCATCAATGGCTTAATTTTAAAGTTCTAACCAATAACAGAGACGGCAAAAACTCAAGTTTCTATTATTGTAGTGTATTAATGTATTATAATTATATTTTCCGAAAAAAACTTTAACCCCAATGCAGAGAGACATTTGCGAAAAAAAAAGTATTTAAAATCGAATTTCACTACCATCATACAATTTCAAAAACAATTTTTCGAAACTCTATTTAATGGCAACTGCATCAAAATTGTATTTAAATGTATTTAAATACATAACAAATTATAAATTCAACATTCAACAGTGGGAAAGTATAAGGCTAAGAGACTCATAAAAGAGCATTACCTACAAATAATACAGATACAATCATACAAAATGTACATAAATATAAATACAAATACATTAGTCTTGAGTGAGCTGGGTAATTTTCCGTATTGTTGCCAACAATTTTAAAGTATTCACCGATGACAGGGAGGGCAAAAACGTCATCAACGTCAATTTTGAGAACGCTCTGGATTCTAATTATATATAAATCTTTTGAGAATTGAATGAGCATTCATCTTGAACCACCATTTTCCTTTATAATTCTAGTATTTTTATCCCAAGAACAAAACTTTCTTATACAAGTTTGAGACTTATACATAAATTGACACTTCCCCGTGTTAGGCACATTTGTTCCCTTACATTATTGACCACAAACAAAACAAGTTTTCCAGTGCTTAGGCATTTTTGTCACCTAAATACGAAACAGGTACGGAGATAATCACCAATCAAAAATGGAAACAACAATGGCTCAGATGGTTGATATATATTCTGTGACCTAGCAATAACTCAAAAAAAAATTAAAAATCCTGGTGCATGCAACAACCAACATAACCGCTGACAGGTCGTCAATAAGTTCGGATGCGGCGTTTTAATGCCATTATTTTCTCAAAATATGTCTAGTTCTTGTTCTGGGAAAACAAGTTAATCCTCGCTGTTTAAAAACTCAAAAACTTTTAGATATAAATTTTAAAATCCCGCTGGGGAGTAAATTTTTTCCCTTTCTCAGAATGGCGACCTAAGAGCCTTATTAAAACCATTATCTGATTATACTTTTCACAATTTTTAGACGATTACGGCAGGAGCGGACCGAGGCAGGATATCCAGCCGAGGCCACTTTCGATGAGCGGCCAGGACGCCCCAAAAATGTCCCACAGGATCCGGGACCTGTTTGTCCGGAGGAAGCGTAACACTTCCCAGTCCTAATCGAAGGACGCCCATTTATAATTATCTTATTACTTTTAAGATTGTTAATGTTGCAAATTCATATATATATATATATATATATATATATATATATATATATATATATATATATATATATATATATATATATATATATATATATATTTATGTTTATACAAACCTGTAGTTTTTGTATATAGAACTTTTGTCTATATGTAATACCAAATCAAATTTTATTGTATTTTCATATGTGTAATTTGAAATATATTTTTTTTATTATTAAAAATAAAAATCGAAGCAAACAATTTTCGTCCGGCACGTTTTATTTGTCTCCACATACACGTAACGAGGCGCCGAACTTTTAAAGTTTAAACGAAACTACAACATCGGGTTTCTAACGCTATTCCTTCTTGAACGTTTTGTAATTCTCGATGGTGGCGGGCCTTTCGGGATAATCGTTGTAGAACTCAAAGAAGCCCGCCGCTTTGCCGAAAACGATGGTGCCGCCGAGCAGTCCGATGCCGATCGCCAATCGGGCATTATAGCTACGCTGCAGGGCGTCGTAATTGGTTTGCCAACTGCCAGACGGCGACGGCAGGTCGTTGTACGTTGTCTTTGCGAGGCCGTGCGAGGCATACCTGCGGCCACCTGAAAAAGTAGAACGTCGTAAATTCACTGTGACGACTTAAATTTCTCAATACTTACTGCATCTTAAAATCGCGGGACCCACTTTCGCGCACTGCATCGCGACAAAACGTTACGGTTCTTTATTAATAACCTTTTTCTTCGATTAAAACGGAGAAATTGTTATGCAATGTCAACCCCCGTCAATGTCCGCAATCATAGAAAAATTGTTCCGCTGCCACGGAATACGACTACGTAAGCAGCAGGTTGATTTACCATGGAAAAGTAAACGGCATCTTAAAATTAAAAAAATATATAATGACTAAAATGGAGGATGTACCCGTTGGTGATTGGGGAACAAGTATTACTATATAATTAAAATAACTGATTCGAAACCAATGCTGGTCGGATTAAACGTTTAGAATTTTAAATGTGTCGTAAATCGTAGTGGTACGACTCAAAATGTGTTCTATGGCTTCCCAAGTACCCACAAAATATAAGGTGCATTTTTCTTCGGCGACTTTCGGTATCGCAATTCTACACGAAATGTTAAAAACCACGCGGCTGCTAGGAAGCTAGATTGCGCCATTGATTGATCACAGAAGCTTCTTCTTCTGTTCACTTATCCCGTTTGGTACGATCACAGAAGCTTGTGCTCTTCGCGGTTTATTTCTTATTTTTATTCTATGATTGTCTCAATAGTGCTTTATTTTGCTCTCGAATAAAACCGATCGTAAATTGTTGAATGTTGAGTCTGGAAGGCGTAAAAGCGCAATTTTTTCTGCCCGAAAGGTGGTTTAAACTGTTTGGCACCCGAATATGGCGATAATCGCGTGTACATCAGCTGCGGAGTGTAAATAAAATAACTTTAAACTTTATTCGTACCCAACCGAGTCTGTTTTTTTTTTTTTTGTAAATAAAATGCTCTTCCCGTTGTGATTTGCCGTCGATTCATTTCTTGTCGAACAATGTGGAAGTGCCACAAGTGCCAGAAACCGGTGTACTTCGGTAAAAAAATCGCTCCTTAGATAAGAATCTCTGGTCATTCTTTTGGTTTGGTGTTGCAGCGGAAAGGAAGCATTCGCTCGGATACAATTGGCATCCGGAATGTTTAAGATGCGAGGAGTGCGGCAAAAGGCTGAACCCCGGCCAGCACGCGGAGCACAAAGGAGTACCCTATTGCCACGTCCCTTGTTACGGCGCGTTGTTTGGGCCCCAGCTATTCGGACACGGCACTCGGGTGGAGTCCCACAAGAATTTCGGGCAACACAAAGATGCTTCCAATATTAACAATAAACCTTTCCTTCCCAGGTCCACGTTGGAGTCAAAAATTAAGGTAGCATGAATAATTCACCGAAAATCTTCGAAAGTCCACCGACAATGAAATGAAATAAAAATTTAGTCGGAGTTTCTGTTAGTTGAAATGTACTTCTCTCTGTGTCAGGTGTACAACCAGTTCTTCGAGGGCAAAAGCGGCGAAATACGCAGCAGGGAGGTGAACGGCCGCTATATCCTGGAAGGTTCCCTCAGGATCCATTGGGGCATCCAGGGTGTGATCCACCTCAAGGAGAACGACGACCAGAGAACGGTGGTGACGGTGAGGAAAAGGAACTCGTTCCGAATGTCCAGTCCAGAATACGACACGGACGACGATATCCGAAGCATATCGCGGGACACCAGCTTCAGCGACCTTTCCAGCTCTTCGACGGACGCCGCTTTGGACGTCAGCAAGTCGGACACAGGTATTGCGTTCGAAAATTCCGGGGTTTGGCAGGTCGTAACTCGCGTTGCTAGGCATAGAGAGCGGTACCGACTCTCTAGACTCGAACTTGAGCAACCCGCCCTCGCCTCACAAAGAGTCGCCCAAGAGTGTCACTTTGCCGTCCAAATTGGACGTGAAAAATATGGAATGGGACGAGCTGGACGATCTGTTGCAAGTGGAACGGAAAGTGGAGGAAACCGATAAGCTGTATCGGACGATGCCTGCGCCCCTACCTTCCCGGCTTAGCAGTGACAGCAGCACCGAATCCGCCAGGTAATAGAGGGTTGTTAGTGCTCGCATGCTTGCAGTGTAATTTTTTATAATAAAAAAAACATATCAGTTTCTTTTGACTTATTCCTCATTAATTTGCATAATTAAACTAAAAACTATTTCTAAAAAACAAGCCGGAACATCAAAGTAAGTCACAATTTCTGAATTAAGTCAGGATTTTTGACATAAATCTCTCTTAAGGGACGATTTTTAATTGCAACATCAGATTATGGTGATTCGTGAAGAATGGGCCATGGACCTAACTGGTGGCAGTAGACGTCAAAATATTATGAAATTTCAAAATTTGATTCGAGTTCTTTTTGTCATTACTATTACCAACATTTGTAAGTATTTATTAAAAAAATATCTCGAATTTTTTAAATGCAAATAAGTCAAAAACCGACGAAGTTAGGCAGCCTTTGGCAGACAAAAAAAAAGATTTGATTAGTCATGGAAAAAAAACTAACCAAAACTGACAATTTTTATTAAACTTGAAAAACTTTCTCAATTCATTATTTTTTTTTGCAGAATTTCTGAGTTTTGCCAAAAATTCTAATTTGTTTTTCAAAATTTCTAAATTGTTTTCCAAAAAATGGTAGTTAGGAATTTTGGCGTGTATTTAAAAAATTCTGAATCATCTTCCAGAATTTCTGACTAGTGTTGCAGAAATTTTGAATTATGTTGGAAGTTCTTAATGGTTTTCCAAAAATTCAGATTTGTCTTTCAGAAATTCTGACAAATTACAAATTAGGGATACCAACTGCCGCGACGCGAATTTTATTCCGATTTTAAATGAATGCAGAAAAGGGAGAAAGAAAACGAAGAAATATTAGTGATCTTTAAATAGTGACAGGTGCATAGAAGATTCGAGTTTTACCAACCCTCAGTTAAATTTCTAGGGTTTACAAGAGTTCTTTTGATCTTGAGTTATCTACAGTTGGAAATGGCCATTGCTGAAAAAGAAGAAGATTGTAGCGACGCGTGCGTCATAGTTTGAAGCATGCAGCTATTAGATTGTAATTTTTCTGGAAAATGTACGAGTGAATTTGAATAATTTAACGGTGGTTTACAACTCTTACTTACTAACCTGTGTTTTACTCCGCACCTCAACTTCCTTCTGCATGAAAATTTGATGGGATTTTATAAAACCACCTCCGTAAAAATGGCGCGTCAAAACTTATTGATAATCTGAAGTACTTTTTGTGGTATTTACGAAAATCACCAATTGAACATTGTCTGGATTTCTGAAGAGGCCGACAGGATCTTTAGCGAAACGTCTCAACAGTATCGTCTCTTTCCGTTAATGTTACTCTTGCATTTGAACATTCTGACAATGTTCCAATATACGGGGGTCCCTCTTTTAGCTTCACCGTACCTTCGGACGAATCTGTCACCCTTGGGGCGGCCCTTCGCTCTGACACCTTGACCAACGGCCTCAGTGACGATAAGGTACCTCTGCTGGGCGACTCTTTCGCCAAGGACGACAGTTGGACGCTGACCAGCAACCACCTGAACCGGTCCATGTCCGGTCCCGACTGTTTGGGTCGGGTCCGCGACGCCCACTCTCCCGAATTGGACGCCAGCGTCGCGGCGTCCTCCGACTTGGACGACGAGGTGGTGCTGCGCAGGCCGCAGAAAAGCGGCTCGACCGCCATACGGCGCAGACCCGGCAAAAGGCTGTCGAGGAGTAAGGTGAAGCGAAGGTGCTCGATTAACGGCCACTTCTACGATCGCGAGACGAGCTTCTTCACGCCCCCCTACGGCAGCCAGATGAGCGTGTGGGTCACGTCGCTCGTCAACACCCAGGAAGTGATCAAACTGATATTGGAGAAGTACAAGGTGGAAAGCGACCCGAACCATTTCGCGTTGTTTATCGTGCGAGACAATGGGGGTAAATTTTTTTGGGGCGGGGTCCCTCCACCCTGGTTTAACTCCGCTCCCCGTTTCAGAGCAGCGACGCCTGAAGGAGGACGAGTACCCGTTGTTGGCGAGGGTGCTGCTCGGGCCCCACGAGGACGTCGCCAAGTTGTTCCTGATGGACGGCCACAACACGCCGGAGGTCAGCAGCGAGGTCGCGCAGTTCCTTAACCTGTCTTTAGTCGAGTGCCGCGCCATTTTGAACCAGTACTACAGCCAGGAGGACCGGGAGGTGGCCAGGATCAGAGAGAAGTGAGGTTCTTTTTACCATTTATTGCAGACCTCCAAAAAAATTGCACATAGGTCACTATGAAATATACACAGTAGGGATCGTAGTGTGCGAAAGTACGTGTCCATACCTAACGCAAAAAAAAATCAGTGGAAAGGTTTTGATTTATTGCAGACGTGAAAACTACATACATGAAAGTACATCCCAAAATTATCAGCGTAAATGTTTTGACGACATAATGAACTTTTTTACCATTTTTTTTATCATACAAATATAAAAAACAAATATGTTCCGGTTAGGTTCCGGGAAATGAGGAGGAGGATCGTCCATCGTCTGCAGGCGGGGGCGTGAGCAGGGTAGGATTTAGTTGCCCTATTTGTAAGTTTCCAGTATCTTTTTAACGGTATTTTTATACGCATACCCTATACCTATTAACATTTTTTTCTTATATTTATATTAGAAAATTATACCAGTTTTTAATGTTTTTTGTATGAAGCACGAGTACGAAATAAACGCCTTGAAATGAAACGATCTTTGAACTTGCAACTTTACGATAAAGATGACAATTAGAAAGACGACCATGATAAGAACGATAATGACGACAATAAAGGTTGCGATGATAACGAACCATAGCGATGACGACGATAACGCTTATGACGAACGATAACGATGACAATTACGAAAACGACTATGATAAGGACGATAAGACAACGGTGATGACTACAAGCAAACGATGATGACGAACGATGACGACTGCGACGATGATGACGATGACGAGCATGGTGACGCTGGACAACGATCACGACGACGAGGATTATGATAATCACGAGAATGACTATTATGATGACGACAATTGCGATGACGAATCCGACAGTGATGACGACGATTTCGAGACCACAACTTCAATGACGATTACAATGACAACGACCGTGACAAAGTATAACGATTATGACCCCAACGGTAATGGCGATTACTACGAAAACGAACGACGATTGTTGACGATTACAAAGTCTACAAAAATAATCGAACGATGACCGGTGATCATCACGATAATGATGACGACGTCGATTACAGGACTACAACGCCGATGTTTACGACGATTACAATGAAAACGAACGATCACGTTGACAATTACGAAGGCGACAAGGATAACAACGATAATGACGACGACTATGATTGACCATTACGTTGACGACCACGAAGATGATAACGACGATGACGAGCATGGCGATGACATCGATGATGACGATTACGATAACAATGTCGACGATGACGGTGAGTCGATGACGATTAAGATGAAAACGATGATAACGAACGATAACGATGACTACGCCTATGACGACCATTACAATGACGACCACTTTCAATTTCCCACCCTCTAGCGCCGTCCTCTTGCGAATTAGAGGAAACTTTATTTGACTAAAAATGATCGCCTCGTCGAGCTCTATCCGCCTACCAAGTTTCAACACCTTACGCCCAGTTGAATTTCCCACACCCTAGTGCCACCCCTTTCCAGATAGAGAAAACTCTATTTGACGAAAAATGATCGCCCCGTCCAGCTCTAACCGCCTACCAAGTTTCAACCCCATACGCTCACTTTGAATTTCCCACCCCCTAGCGCCGCCCCCCTACGAGATAGAGAAAACTTTATTTGATGAAAAATGATCGCCTCGTCGAGCTCCACCTGCCTAGTAAGTTTCAACCCTGTACGACGTTAACTTTTTAAAAGTTGGACAAAAATATGATCACCCCGGAAAATTAGAACGCGCCGCACAATAAGCTAGGATGACCCAAAAGTTTTAAAAAGGCCTGTTTTTTGCCGGAAATCATGTGATACAGCAAGTAAAGATCAAACTAATGAGAAATAAAATTTGTAAAATTACCTGAGTACCTGCGGTGTCTAAAATTTATTCTGTGGATAAGAAAAATGTAGCAAAATATCACCGTTTTTGTAGAAACCCAATATTTCAAAATAAAACTACCCAGTATCAACTTTAATTTAATAGTAATAATGATATAACAAATTTAATTTTAAATCAACGCTTAATCAGATTTGCCACGTTTGTCTGATTCCCTCAAAATTTTAATATTTTGTTTGAAAGACTCTAGCAAATTTTATTTAAAGCTTTAATTTTGCGTAAATTTCCGATTTTTAGATCATACGAAAGTAACAAATTATGAAATACATCTAAATTTGTTGTAATCCTGCTGCATTTTCTCGCAAGTTCATCCATTGAAAAAGGGTATGATGTTTGCGGTTATCCTGAATGCGTTTATCCCGCAATTTAATTGTAGATAGTTCAAAGCCTGCTTGTTTAATGCTGCGGAAAAAACGAAAAGAAAAATTTGGTATTTTGCAAGCTTTTTGGGTCATCCTGGCAGACACAAGACTTAAAACGCCCGGAAATGTCGTTAAAGGGGGCAACGTCGCGACGCCGCGCGCCTCTTTCGGCAAAATTCGGTAACCGGATCGAACGTTGTCGAAACGAAAACGGGCAATGAATCGCGAATCCGTCGCGTCACCTTGGCGCGAATACCGACGCCAGAAAGCGTCGCGGCGCTACCCCAGACGCTCGCGATATGTCGTAACGGCGTCGATAATTAAGCGACGGTTTCGTCGGGAAACTCGCCTAGACGCGCGTAAATTTCGACGGTCGTAACATGAAGTGCACTTAGTTTGTTATATATCGGCAGTTTGTCCCGGTTTTTTACGTCGGCGGTGAGTACGCCCTGCGAAAGGATACGACACGTATTTTATACATTTCAATGTCCGCCATTTTCGTCAGCTTTGGTTGTTTTCAGTTTTTGAACGAAGGAATCTCATACGAAAAGCCGAAATGTCATTCGACCAGATAGATATATGTTCGGTAACAGTAAATAAAATGCCCGGCGCATCCGCCACACGCAAAACTGTCACCGTTCTTGTCGAATATCGAAGTTAAATTACTTTCGAAACATGCTTTTTGCCGCTACCGCGTGTGTTATTAGTGACTTTTTGCACCCTCCTATGAAATGTCACTCTTTCGCCGCATTATACGTTATTAGTGGGTTAAAACCTAATTTTCTCGACGTTGTTTCCGGTTCAACGTTTTTAGTTTTTGCCCTTTCCATTTCGTTGAAATGATAGACTAAGAGCTGGTTTCTTTGGTTATTTAAACGGGACAAACTCGGTTGAAATATAAAAATTTGTACCAATAATAGCGATTTTCAATGATGTTTGCTTAAATGTCTCTCGCACCCTGTACGATGGGAGAAAACTGTAAAAGGATATTTGTAGCCCTCGATACAGTTTATGATACTATTTAAATTCAATTGTACCATCTTTTGACCTTTTATTTACGGCTAAGAATTTATTCCCGAAAAGAACAATAACTAAATATAATCGAAAAATGCCATACAATTGAAAATGAGCTGGTGAATCAACAGGATCAAAGGTCATCGAGATGGACAGGGGTATGGGTCGCGTTTCTAGGATCGACCAACCTGAATGGTATGGTACGGCCAAAAATATAGTGCATTTATAGCTTTGACGTTTTAAGTATTTTACTGTACCTTTACCGCAGACTTTCGTCGTAACTAGACTGTTTTAAAAAATATACTGTTTTAAATTTGATTAAGCATTGGTTTTCGAATAAGTATAATTTAATTGGTTCTTGTTTTTTAACACTTTAAAATGTGGAGACCGTGGAATGAAGCAGATGTACTCCTGTTAGAAGAAGATATTGAAAATAACGCAGAAATTGATGACGAAGTGGGGATGGTAGTCGAACCTAATGACAATTTAGAAGACGAACTACCTCAGCATATAAAAAACCGATCCATCTGTCTTCCGATGCTAAACAAATTGTTTGCAATTTTGTGATTTATATAAAACATCTTCTGGAATTATATAAATTAAATTATTAATAATGACTATAAAATCGATTAGATAACACAACAAAACGGACTTGAAATCTTGTATATTTAACCCGATTGAGATGATTTGGTCTGAGTTGAAAGCGCATATAAAAAGAAATAAAACTGTAGTTTACACTACCTACCTTTAAATTTAGAAAAAAAACATAATTCACATCATTTACATTCGTCTTTACTCATAATAACCTTTAAAAATAAAGGTACTCTCACATCAGTTCTAAACCACCCTGTATATTAATTAATTTCGCCAGCTCTCTTAACATCACGCTCATCAATTTGTGTTAAAAGTTTTGGCGGAGTCGGTTGTAAAAGCACTATATTTCTGGTCGAAGTATAAGAAAGTAGCGCCGAGCTGGTGGGTCAATAACATTGATGGCTTTGTGGGTACAGAGAGGTTTTCCACAGTCGAGGACAATCTTCAGTAGGCAGTCAGTTACAATTGTATTTTACGTTCTTAAGTTGTCGGTCTGTGCAGAAAGATGGCGGGGATGTATTCTTGAGCTATAATAAAAGTTGCGAGACCTAAAAATAACGCCCACAGCAATTTGAGGAGACAATCGCATTAAGTGTAAATAAGAGGCGCAAAAAGTCCCCGGATGCGGCGAACGCCCTGTATATCGCGTGCCGATCGCGACACATAATTAAATTATTCAGTAGGTCGATTGATTCGGTGTTTTACTCGATCGATTCGGGACGTCCGCCGTCGCCATGAATCTGATGTTCAGGAAGAACTTCAGGGAGCAAAAGTCGGGCGCGATGCCGGGCAAGGGGACCAAAAGCGGAGCGGGGAGGCACGCCAACAAACGGTGCACCCGGGATCAGGGCTACACGCCGATCGAGGAGCACCACTACAGGACTCACCTGTTTTTCAGTCCACCCAGGTGTAGCTACGCGCCCGACGACCAAGACGGTAAGGTGCGGGATGACATACGTCACACTGAGACTCACATACGTCACAAGGGCGAACCTTGGTTGAATAATAACATCTAAAATTTCTCTGGGTGCGTCCCCTATACAGGTATAGTCCGTCCCAATCTGCGTCGCGCCTACATATATTCAAACAGGGTTTATAATTAAATATGGGGTATTATAATTCAAACGAACTTTGTCTTGCTCTTTTCGGCGTCGGTCCTTTCGATCGAAATCGACAATTTAACGTTCACTTCAATCGACATGTTTTTTTTTTTGAATTTTCGACTTCAATTTCATTTTCGTTTTAGAAGCTACCGATCAGATAAAAAAATATATGTTGTTTGAAAGATTAAGTTTAAATCGATTAAAACTTATTTCTGCCAGGTTACTTACTTACCTTTTTTTATTACTCAAATTATTATTTATTATTATTATAAATTATTTAACTAAGGCCGAACCGCTGCGTAGTTCTCTGTTTCTTCGGATTCGGCGAAATCGGTTTTCTTTGAAGTCGGTTAGTTTTGGTTACCGTGAAACACCCTGCAGATAGAGACAAAGGAAAGCTCAATTCTCGATCCGAATGTATTTTCACCCGTGTACGTACGCAGCATTAACGACTTGAACTTTGTAAACGACAAGGAAAAAACTTTGGATTGAAACATCGATAACCTCAACCTACTACAAAATGATTTCACGTTTGACCGCCAGGCGGCGTATCTTGACGTCTTAATTACTCACAGATTACGTCACAAATAGGAAATAACGTTTCTCTTTTTGGCATAAAAACGAAGCGCCCCCTATATTAGGTAGTAACTAACTATTATCGAACGTTGTAATCAGTAGTCGACCTACGTTCCCGTAGTTTAGCACGCTCTTCTAATACGTAAACCTTAACCCCGAGCGTCTGTGTTTGGTGTTCCGAGACCTCACGAACGTCCCCTTTTTGCAGGTTCGACCGCAACACCAGGTGACTCAAAAACGTGTGAATACCCACGCACAGGTTTGAAGTGCCGCTTCCTAATATTAACTAATACCTACCCCCGCTACTGAGCTAAAGCCGCTTAACTCGATTAAAACACTTGCAACCCGTGGTCACGTATCTATCTTATATCTTATACACTTGAACACTATAAATCATTCTTTGTTCGGACCACTCGTCGTCCGACGACACAGTTTTGAGTTTTTTTTTTGTTTTTCACTACTATTGGCTAAGAATACCGCAATCATTCGGCCATTTTCTCACTCTCACTTCCAAAAACCTGAGAGGATGCCTTAACTAAAAGGGACTGCTGCTAGGAAGAGCTATACAATAGAAAAAAAAAAACCCTCAGCATGAATAGCAATGATGCAAGGCCAAAACTTATAAGCTTAAATTACAAGCTGACAAAAAGCCACGGATAGTTTTAGCGCCGAATTCCTGAGAACGGAGTTCGTTCATGTAACGAGTGCTACACCTTCCAAAAAAAAAAAAATACCATGAGTAGTGAGGTTCTTCTTCTTCTTTTACTTCTATTGGTCACATTGCTAGGATCATCCGGTCAAAATACTGAGGTCAAAAGGCGAAACCAATTCTTCCTCTTCAAATCGAAATAGGCCGATCGCCCAACAAGTAATCAGCAATTGGTGGCGAGGCCGACAGAGGAAGATAGAGGGAGAGGGAATTGGTACCATATGGCCACTAGATTTTCTAATTCAATGCCAATAATTATTTTATTTTAAAATGAAAACCTCATACGAACACAAATAAAACGTATTTTTTTAATAACTGCAATACCACTTCAATTATTTTAATGAAATTTGGCACACATGTACCAGGTATCAAGAGACATTACTTAGGGTACCATTTTTTTTTCAAATAGAAAAGTGGCGGGCTAAAAGGCTATTTTGGCAGACCCAGACGTCACCCATTTCTTTTAAAATAAAAATTATTCTTACAATCAAATCAAATAAAATAAAAACAATATTATTAATACGACAGCAGGCAGAGAATCATTACCGTTCTTATTTCTTGCCTAAGTAATTGTGAAACGCGAATAGAAAGTGCGTAAACTAAGGGATGTATTATTGAAATCTTTGTAGTTATTTATCATTGTTTAAAAAAATATTAAGTCTTGATTATCGCACCTGAGCTAACACTGTAGCTGAAAATCACTGGATGTATACCTCTAAGAGTGCGCGGAATATGAGACAAAAAGCTGAGGCGTGTACCCTTCAAGGTGGAGGACACTTCATCACACCTTATCTAATTTCAATGTTCTACATTTTTGGAAAAAAATTGCTCAGACCTGGTTGAATGTTCTGGGAACATTTGTTGTGTGTCTAGGGCGTGCGGCCGGGAATCAGAAAGGAAGACACCAGCACAGAACACCGCGTTTTCACCATTCTTCTGTGACTTTTGACAATGGAGAGTGGAGCATTCCAAACAAAGCGATTCTGATTAAACCCGAACCCGATCGGTTCGAATTTTTCACGTCAAACGTTTCATCCGCGATTTTCTATTTCAAAACATCCCGGAGGCCGTTCAAAAATAACTCGCGACACGTCATGGGTGACGTCGCGACGCCCGTTTCTGGAAGACGTCGTCGTCGCCTGGCAGAAGTCGCGTATCCGCCACGGCGACGTAGCGTCGTCTTCCTTCGTCCGATGTTTCGTTTGTTCGGCCGTCCGGTTTGACCAGGTACGCAACGTACTCCCCCCCACCGCCACCGCCAGACTTTTGTTTTGTGCCAAAAATAGCGACCCGACGTTTATTTTTCGCGTAGGTATATGCTTTGTTCTCGAAACGGTCCCCTCGCATTTATTTTTATAAATATTGACCGTCGCGCTGGCGTAACGGACAGCGGAATTTGGGAAACGTGAGTCGGAGCCGCCATCTCGCGACCGCATCGTCACATTCGAGGTGAAAGGCACAGATAAAAAATGTAACTAGTCCCCAATGACATCTAAAGCGTTAACCACGTCTTATTTCAATATACGTGCTGTACTTCATTTCTCAAAATAAATAAGCGCTAAAAGTTTAGATATTCACACGACAATTGTTTCGACAACACCGTGTCTTTATCAAATGTAATAATTTACAAACTACCTGCTACTATATATACCGAAAAATGACAATAAAACCTTAATTAATGCTTGAATGAATGTCATATTTTCGTACATTCACCAAACTCATCTTCTTCTGGTGTCTGTATTAGATATATTTGACTGGTCCAATTACCAATTTTACAAGAACCTTGACTCTTGATGGCCCTTTTCCTGGTTTGGCTTCATGCTTCATATCTTCCCTAAATAAGCATTACCTTAGTTAAGATAAATTATTTTTTCATCTTTCGGAATTGAAAAGAATACCCCTTTCCATGTTCTTGTGGTTTCTGAACATTATAACAAATTTTGCAAGCTATCAGCATTTCAAATTTCTCCAATACAAAACGCGAAACAAGATTTTTCTCGTTTTATTTAGAAAAACCTAGATTCTAGATCATTTTGAGGTTAGCGGTCTGCCATCACCAATGTCACTGGCAGAAGAGGAGAGATTTGGCAACGTTGCGCTAGCAGAGTAATTCTTTGGGGCTCCTCACACGCACATACATAACTCACAGTGACGACTGTCCTTCTAGAGCCTCGCTGCGGACCCATGACGGGAGCTGGCGGGGAACCCCTGGTCCCATCGAGTACCATATCTCCGGCCATGACGGAATCGGACCTGCCGCAGCCGCTGGTGGTGCGGAGTCCCTCGGTCAGCCTTAAATGGATGCCGCATCATTCACCCAAGCCGATCCCCAACAGACAGGTCAGCTTCAACAGGGGCCGGAGTCCCGAATTAGCCAAGACGCTGTCCGGACTCGAGAGGGACTGCTTCATTATCCCGGTTCATAGTCTGGATAGGTTTCTGCCCGCCGGAGTCCCTATGCCGGTAAAACTTACGCCTTTTTATTCTTAAGTTTTACTTACGTAAAAAAAAGAAGAGAGTGGACAATGTTTTGGCCGAACGACCCTGGCATCCGCGGCCATTAGCAGTGAGAAAAAAACGCGTTTGCGGGTTTCTGTTTGCCTTCGCGTCAGCGCTGGGTTTAATTTTTAAAACTTTTGTCGGCCCCGAAAAACGGGGGAAACGTCGATACCGAATCACGTTTATTTAGGTTCACCTTTTTTTAAATTTACTTTCGACGATGTCTTGTTTTACTTTAATGATCAGTCACTGTCAAATGTCATTTCAATTCTATTTGAGTTTACCATGTAAACACAGTCAATAAAACGCTATAGGATATAACTAACCTTTATGAACAAACAACCGTGCCCGAAAACTCACATAATAAACCACAGTGAGATCACATAAAATGTCACACTGCGAAGTTTATTTTACTGATAGATGATTTTACGAAGCAGTATTTCGAAACCCTGTCAAAAAAAGATCTAATTGTCATTTTTCAATCCAAGCACAGAAAAAAAACATGCCAATAATGGCCACGTCAGTTTCAGCTGACGGCGGTGTTGCCAAGATGTTTTACGTGAATCATGCACCTATAAAAGGGGAATAATTAAAGGACTATGTAGAAATGGAATGAAATGGAACATAACAGATTGTTCGTTTGTACTAATTTTTTTATGTACATGTTTCAAGAAATGCTCGGCGATAAACATCGAAAACCTACTTATATCGCGCTTGTTAGTGTAGGTAGATAATGGTTACGGTATGGCTGTGGCTTTGGAGTAATAAACAGCAGGCAAAGTGAATACGTTGTCGGTTGTAAAAGCACTATATTTCTGGTGCAAGTATACGCTTTCCAGTCGCGAAAGCACTATATTTCTGGTTAAAGTAAACTCGTTAAGGTAGCAAAAGCGCTATATTTCTGGTCTAAGTATACGCCTTCATTTCGCAAAAGCACTATATTTCTGGTTCAATTAATTAATTAATGGGGGAAGACGCTGGCCGAGGGCAAAGGGGACCGCGCGACGGGCCAGGGCAACAACCTGCACGTGATGGAAGTACCCGACCCGAAGCTGTGCGTCCTGTGTCACCTGATGAGCCCCCTGGAACCGATCGACCCGATCCTCGAGTCGCCGCTGATCCAGCCGCTGTTCAAGCAGCGCGTTACGGCCGGCGAGCTCGTCAACGAAGTTGCGCTCGCCAAAACGGCCGTTACCGGCATGCTACTCGCCAACATGGAGAAAAATGGTAAGCGATTTGCGCGTCACAGCCTTTCGCGAGTTTCTAACCGACATTCCGCTTTCAGCCGAGTTCCCGTTCATATCTTACTATGTGATAAACACCTCGCAAACCAATCCCGTGATGTTTTACAATAACCTGCGTACCGCCAGCCTGACCAAATTCGATCCGCGAGCAACCAGGTTAGTATACTCCAGTCACGTCACGTCACGAATACTAACATAATCAAAAACGATCCGTATGTCGCAGCTAGTCTGTGTTATGACGTAATAACACAGCCGATCTGCCCCGCAGCCGACGAAAAATAGCTGCCTGGGCGCGTATTGCCGGTATTGGTGGTCACGTGACCCTAATAGATCTAGGATTGCAATAAAATGGTTTCCTAAAGATTTCCTTTAATATGGTGAACTGAAAGTGGAAACGAGTCCCGTTTCTTCGGATTAGTACTTTGACCGACACCCAAAAACACAACAACATTGCGGCATGTACGCATTGTTCTTTGTACTTTCTGGTACTTGGTTTTTATCACAAATGCAAAGAAAACAATTAAAAAACCGAGTTTTAAACAATTTAATACGCCGGTAACCTACATAAACATGCGTGTTTTCCCAGACCGCAGCCGGACTAACTGAAATTCCTGGATCTATTAGAGTCACGTGACTTTCGCGCGGCAGGGCCGGTCTTATTCGTCGGCTGCGGTCGAACTGCCTGGACTCTACGGTTCCTTTGATGCTTGGGGAGCATAGTACAGTGACATACGTGCGATTGGGCGGATCGCTTTTGGTCCCTCGCCCATCACGCTTTCTCCATTTTATCGATAATAACAAGGAAGTCTTTGCTTCTCGCGTTGGTGTACGGAAATAACGTCCATTAGGACTTTTTGCACCTCTTAATGACGTTATTTGACTTACTAGTAAATATCGTGGGCGATGGATTCAAAACATAAAAAAGATTTGCTTTTAGTTCATTGTACTTAAACTGTCGCCTATTAAATGTTTTTTTATAAATAATTTTTTTTGCCAGCTTCGTATATATGAGCTATTAAATAAAAACATTCATTTTGACTTTTTGCACCTCGTTACTAGTAAATGTTGGGGGCTGTGAATTAAAAAAATTAAAAAGATTTGTTTTTATTTCCTTCTACTTGAACGTTCGCCTCTTAAATGTTTTTTTAAAATAGTTTCTTTCGTGGGTTGGCACCATTGTACACTGTCATTGGGTACGATTCGGCAGAGTACTTTTGGCCGCTTTTTATCAATAAAAAAGAGGAAGTCTTTGCTTCTCGCTTTGGTTTACACAAATAAAAACGTCCATTGGGATTTTTGCACCCCTTGTTTTGACGTTATTTGACTTACTAGTAAATATTGTGGGCTACGAATTAAAAACGTAAAAAAGATTTGCTTTTATTTCATTGTACTTGCAGTGTCGCCTCTTAAATGCTTTTTTTAATAGTTTCTTTCTTGCATTGGCCACCATTGTGCGCAGTCATTGCGTGCGATTGGGTAAAGTACTTTTGGCCGCTCGCCCATGGGGCGGTCACGTTGGATTTTGGCAAATAAAAACATCCATTGGGACGTCGCGTCTTATCTTGGCGTTGTTTAGTTAGTTAGTTAGTTTAGTTAGTAAACAAGAGAATAACCGATGATGTTTGGACCATATGATGATGTGACATTTTTAAGTCCGATCTTCTTTCAATTTTGATCGATTTGATTGTATTGAATGTATGTGAGGGTGTCTAGAATTTAAATGGTTATGAAAATCATATTGGAGAGAGAGGAAGGAAAAGAGCATGAAAGAGCCTTAAGAGTACGAATAAAATAAACAATAATAATCGATTCTTCTACCAAAGAAAAATCCGGCAATCCATAGAAACCCCCAATTAACCAAAACAATTTGGGAATCAATCAACTCCGCACCCTTCAAACGATATATAAGCAGCGATATATAGACACGTTGTCGCTCACAAAAGACCCGTATCTAACACCTTGTTGACTTGGAGAAGGTTCTTTTAAACAATACACACTTCCATATATTAATAACGGGTATAATACGACCAAAAATATAGTGCATTTCTTGCTTTGACGTTTTAAGTATTTTACGTAATAATTTGTTTATTAATTTGTACTAGCGAAAAAGATCGAAAACATACTTATATCCCGCTTGTTAGTGTAGGTGGATAAATTCCTAGGACGGTTCTGGAATGGTTACGGGTAAGGGTCTGCGGTTTTGGAGTAATAAGCAGTAGGCAAAGTTAATCACCTGGTCGGTTGTAAAAGCATTTTTGGTCCATTTGGCTTTGCCCTTGATGAAAGGTGCCTGTTTCTGTTAACTTAACATCAGTGATTGAGTCGCAAATAATTCCAGATACACGGCGGCCCACACGCTGGACTTGTACACGGAAGTAGCTTCCATTTGCAGGTGAGCAGGGAGTTAAATCGCGAGGTCGTGCGAGCTGACACTCGTTTTGTCGCAGACCGCCCATCCACGAGGTGGGAGTGCCTTTGACGAAAACGCACGCGCCCTCTACCGGCTACATGATATCCGTCTACAAAGTGTTCGAGGGCGACGACAAAGAGAAGCTGGAACGCAACTGGCTCTACTGGACCGGTAAGTGCCAGCCTTTTTCAAAAAAGCGAACAATCAAATAAAATGGATGGATATACTAGCGGTATACAAGAAAACAGTTTTAAGCTATTAATATTTGAGGATTGATGAACAAATATAAAATTCAATTATTTCTTGTAATTTTAGTTTAGTGGAAATACATATCGAATAGGTTTTGGTTAATCCACTGCAATAGTCAAAATAACTTAAGCATTGTTTTATTATAGTCGTATACCTATTATTATTTTTCTATTCGAAGGAAATTCGGACTTAGTCACTTTCTCATGAATATAAAATCAATTATTTCTTGAAATGACGTCATTGCCTATAAAAAATATTTTCTCGAAAATCGACATTTTTCCAATTATGTACAGACTGTGTCGATTATGGGCAAAAAATCGAAAAGACCCGGAAAATTGCCGTTTTTATGGGGAAATTATTAGCCGTAATTGAAAAAGTATAAAACATGGGATAATTACTACTTACTCTTATAATTTATTATTACTTGTATAATTTTTTTTGCGACTTTCGACTGTTTTTTTTTTAATATTGCTATGAAACACGATAAGTATCAGCAGTTTTGTGCTGTGATGGAAAATCGGGGGGGCTTTGTGGTCGGGAAGTATTTCAAAAAAATTAAAAATCGCGTGTGCAGGGGTCTACAAAAAAAAACCATTTTTCATCAACCCTTTACAAGACCGAAAAAATTCTTGAACCAGAAGAGGGCTCCATAAGCTTTTATTCTTGACATTTTTTCAAAAATATAGAGTAATTTAAAATCTGTTTTAGATGTCAGTTTCTTTTACATGACGATATAGCGCATATAGACAGCCAAAACTTTTGTATTTAAGATTTTTAAGTATTGTACAGGGTGTTCGCGACATTCCGCGCAATATTTTCAAAAATATAATAAGTGCCCCAAACTTGCAGTTACTCAGACTTGTGAGAGAAGTAGAAGTCTGGACCCGCATTTAGACTCTTTAAATTAGGAGCAATAAAATAACGCGAAGTATTTTTTTTTAATTTTTGAATTCTTTTTTGGCATTTCGATTTTTTATTTTTGGCCCAGGGGCGAGGATGATCTACAGGTACCTGCCGAGAGCTGCAGGCCTGCGCAAGATCTCGCTCCACAAGTCGCTGAGCCCCAAGGGCGACAAGATGTACATCTTGACCTGCGAACTAGCCAACCTGCTCAGCGACGTAACAGTCTGCGCGCTGCTCCTGCCCGCGCTCAGAGCCAGGCTGACCGGCTACACGGGCCTGTTCAGGCCCCTGCAGATCTTTTGACATTTTTTATTACGCCCGTAGATTTACTTTCCTGTCGTTTCACGACCTCCGTGATGGACCCGGACGTCACTTTTTTGTTTTCTCTCACTTCCGCTCGTTTCCAAAAATCGTTTTTTTTTTTACAAACGCGATTAGATAGGGTACCGGACGGACACGAAGCCTTCGCGAGTTCAAACTCGCATATTTTTATGCGTCGCATGGCAATAAAAACAAACTATTTTTGTTAGGGAACGTTGTACGTTGTTTTCAAAACAATAAAAAAATCGATCGTAACGATGGCGTTTTATTTCTTAGATTGCGACCCGATAAAATCGACTTAAGTGGAAGGCATCACCCCTGAGAGAGGCTATGCGGTCAGTACGTTGACTTGTATTTAGTAATAATAATAATATATATAAAGTATGGATTTCGTCAAGTAGGTCAATATAGATATATATGACAGAGCACAACAATACAGTGATGAAAAACATTAATAGGCAAAATATTGATTTAAATTATAAAAAACAGTTTTCTAGGAGGAAAAACTTCAATTTGGATTTAAAAATGTTTACATTACTACTGCTCTTTAGGTCTGGGGACAGTCTAGTAGACTCTAATTTTTTTTATGGAGAAACGGTATTTGTTTCGTGTATTTCGTGAAAATCTGAACTTTTAGTTCTCATTTATTTTTAAAAATGGATTTTCATCAAGTAAAAGCCACCTCAGTTCAGACCAGACATTTACAGAAAGATCTTTTTTGTTTTGTGGACATTTGAATATCAATACGCTTGTTTTTTGAACATTCAAAAAGAGTTCGTTGGTGTTAAACCAGCAATGTGACTTGAACAGTTGTCAGCCCAAACTAGGTAGGTGATTTTTTATGTGTCCCCAAAAGAAAAAATCCATTAAAGTTAAGTCGGGGATGTTGCCTGGCCAATCCATAGTTCCGTCATTCTCTATATAACCCAAAGTTACAGTCAATTAAAATGTTATCAATATAAATTGAACGCACGGTACAAGGGGTTTAAATTCGCCGCCTAATTGCCCAATTCCGAATAATTCCGAAAATGTTAAAAAAAAAACCGGAATTTTCAATTTCGGTCTCTTTTGTCTGCCGGTTTTATTCGTTAAGATAACTTAACGCATCGATTCTGAGGCGAAATTTCGTTTGTTTTTATTGTTTTAAGACGTTATTTGCGGCAAAAGAATGCTTAGATACGCGCGTTTGTTGGTCCGTCCTGACATAACCTCACTTTTCGAATGGTTTCGACCTAACTGTCAAGCTAGCGTCAGTCAAAGGAATATGGAGACGGTTCGTGAGAAAAAAACGAGCAGGAAACGAAAACGTGAGTCGGTGGTAAGTCCATAGCGTCTTCTGATCGATCCGTTTCAGGGTTCTGGGTCACCACGACCATGGCGGAAGGTAGGGAGGAGCTGCTGACGTCGACCTTCCGCGAGTTCCTCCTCTACTTGGTGTGTCTCGTTTTGATAAGCGTTTGTACGTCGTTGCCCTCTTGTTTTTAGCCTCTCGCGTAAACATGTTCGGTTTAAGACTTGTTCGGACAAGCGAGCGACGCAAAGTACTACTTGACAAGCGCGATGAGGGGGCAGTTTGCTGACGAAGCAGTGTTCGGGGATATCAAGTCGGCGCAGGATGTCTGGACGGTAAAAAGAGACGCCATTTGATGGTGGTTTCTACATTCCGTGCCGTTATCTTAGTATCTCGAAGACACCCTGATGAACGGGTTGTTTGGGACTAACGGTAGCGCCCATGGAATAGTAGTACTCGAAGAGAACAAAGTACTCGGCTTGCCGAGAATCAGGCAAGTGAGTTTCGTCACGGATCAAAGATAAGTGAACTTAATTATGTAGCATTCCGTCCCGTTTCGGAAAGTCTCGGTGAGTCTCGTTTCGCGAGGGATCTGGATGTAGCAGACTGTCGAATGTCAAATAGAAAAGGACTAATAGCTGTTTCGTTTGAACGACGTGATTTTTATATGGAAATTGTAATTTGACAGTCGATAATAGTATAGTATTTGTTTATTTAATGTCATCTGAAATTATGATATATAATTTAGGAGTTATACATAGTAGCAATTTTTTCGAATTTTGTGAGAAAGAATTCAGTTTTGTTTACTCAACCACATCCACACAAGCAATAAGCCGAACAGGATTGAAAAAGGGTTAAATCTGCTTTTTAAACCGAAGATCCCGTCTCAAATGTTTATCATTAACTAAGTGGCTACTATTATTAGTGAATATGATATTCGCAAAAAAAAAGTGTGATCAGTAAGAGTGATTTTTTGCTACGTCAATCGCAGGTGAAGGTGAAAAACGATTCCTGCGAGATCCACGGATTCTTCCGCCGCCATTTTCTGTCCTGCTACAATAGATTCGACGCGGTCTACGAGGACACCGAGAGTTTCGGCCCCGCCCCCCTCACGCCGGGGTTAGTTACATGTTTTTAGCTAGCCTAGCACTGCGGGCCATTTTTAGTTTTATGTATTAGTGGTCCGTGACATAGAAACATAGAAACCTTTTAAAATAATTTAATTTAACACTGGAGAACTAAACTAAAAAAGGTAAGGCCAATTTAATTTTTATTTTTAACATTTAATAGAATAGAGTGCGACGGATGCTCTGAAAAGAAATATTTTGAAATTTTGTTTCCGCAATTCAAATCAATACATTTCAATTTTAATACTAGTGATTGAAATTCTCACTTTGGAAATATAACGAGACATCACGTTCTTCATTAATATAAATATTTCTTTTGACTAAGCCGCTATATTTCAACAGTGTTATAAAATGGCTAGTTATTTCAAAATCTGTCAAAAATAACTTCAACAACTGGTATATATTTGAAAACAGAAGAACGATTGGCACGTTCGAATTCGAAAGAATGTTTGACAGATAGAGTTTTAATTTTATATTTTCGATTGCAGAATCGGAAGGTTTAGGAAAAACGCTCCCACTTTGGTAATTTAAACTTCATCGTAGGAAGTTATCCATGTTGAAATGCCCTGTACCGTGCGTTCAATTTATCTTGATAACATTTTAATTGGCTGTCTGTTTTTAGAGATATCAAGGTAAACAATAAAACAAAATCTATGCTAAGCTTTTTTCCAGGTGACGTATAAAACACAACACTATCAAGTTTCTAACACATGGAAAACCCTGTACATTATATATGCATTTAATAGAATATCTAACGGGCTACTCTACTGAACCCCAAATCGTCGGATTATTGCACAATGTTTTTTTTTAATTATATGAGAAAATTAAAATATAATGTTGTAAGATAGAGGTATAACGCAACTTAAGACTAAACAAAAAAAAAAACAAATATATACACTGACAAAAACTGGGACCTACAATACTATTCTTTCAAGAAAATCTGTATAGGAGAAAAAGAAAATTACATGTTAAACAAAAAAAGCATATTTATGGGCATTGGCACTGCACACTAAACAGGTGACCCTTATATCGTGTTTTAAATATTTTTTCTTCAAGGGAAGTAAATTCGTTTGGTAAAGAGTTATAAAATTTAAAACCGTTATGCTGGAAGATGGCAGCCTGGTGACGTGGCACAGTGATTTTATTAATAAATCTGACATTCCGTGTGTCTACCGTCTCCCGAAAAACAAACCGCACCTAAAAATAAAGGTAGTACAGGGTTCGTCGCAACCTTCATCGCAAAATTACCCAAATGAAGTGCTCTGCGATTCTCCCAACCAATGAAGCTCTTTAAATATATGCGAGATATGGTCATATTTTCTTAGTTCTAAAATAACATGTATTTTGCACTTTTTGAATTCTATTTTTGTCTACTACATCGAGACAAGGACCATAAATAAAATCACAGTAGTTGAAACTAGAAAGCACGAGAGATTCACAGAGCATTCTACGTAAAGGAGAACTAAGTAGGAGACATGATTTTTGAATTAGGATTTTAATATATTCCCTAAAGCGCAACTCCGTATCCAATATAATACCCAAATTTTTCGCAGAGCTGTCCATTGAAAGCCTGACACCGTCAAGACGAATATCCACATGATCATTTGGAAACCGCTTGTTAATTTTTGAACCGAAAATCATTACGAGGGTTAAGTTTAAGGTTATGTTCTGAGGAAAGTTGTTTTAATATATTCAGGTCCTCTTTTATTAACCTGGATGCATTTTCGTAATCAGAGTATCATCGGCATAGGTCCGCAAAATATCAGCTGCGTAAAAAAAGAAAAACGGAGGCCCGAGGATAGAGTCCTGCGAACACCTGACAAAATCTGCTCTGAAACCGCTCCGCTACACACAATTTTTTGAAATCTGTTAGAAAAGTAGGATGTTACCAAATCAATCGGCTGCTGTGAAAGTCCATAATATTCATGTTTTGCGTTGTTTTGAAGTACATGATTAATGGTATCAAAAGCAAGCAAAATCCAAGAGTATGAGTGCAGTATGCATTCTTTTATAGCGGAAATTATATCGTCTGTTAAATCAACCAAAACAACCGAAGTACTGAATTCTGAATAAAACTTTTTCAAAAATTTTAGAGAGAACCGGTAAATTTCTAAGATCATTAAAATTTGTTGGATTTTTTTTCTTAAGTAAGGGCTTTCCAATGGAAGTTTTCCATCGATCTGGAAAATAATCAGTGCGTATGTCTTGAATTATTTTGTGAATATCCGATATTTCTACCATATGTATTGTGTGGTGTCATAGATAGGTCTACATTTATAGATCAAAAGTTAACTGTAGATCATTATTTGCAACTCTTAGAGCACCAAATAGAACAATATATAGAAGATTGAGTCCTAAATATATCCTCGCTGATTATATGACAGCAAGACGGTGCCCTTGCAATGTTATGCAAATTTCCTTTACATGGAATATCCCAGGGCTTGGATAGTTAAGAGACAATTCGGAAACGTTACTAAACGCAAGACATCATACAATTAGAATGTATGAGAAATGCGTTCAGGAAAATGGTCACATACAACGGTATTTAGAATAGTTATTTTTTTTTTACATTTTTGTCTTGTCATTTTTAATGTGTTTGTTCTACTTTAATTTGTATATAATTATTTTTGTTGCTGTCAGTCACGGCACTCTCAGAAATTATATAAAACATTCCTATTTTTGCCGATTTGTCTAAAAGAGTGGACTTAAATATATACAGGGTGTTCCATTTAAAAAATATGTAGGCTTATATGTCAGAAAATTGCTTTATGCGTCACTTGGAAAAAACTTGGCTAGTAACCCTACATTTTGTTTACCTAGATATCTCTAAAAAGAAAAAAGTTCCAGCCATGATAAATCGAACGCACTGTACATGGCGTTTCCAAATCCAATGCAGCGATTTTAAGGGGCCAGTTTCTCTCGCTCTCTCGCCAGATTCACGCACAGCGACGCCGTAGAAACGGGAAGCCTGAGGGGGCGGGGCGTCGGAGGCTCCATATACTCCGGGGGCGGGTTCTACGTCGACCTGCCGGCCGAAGAGGTCCTCGCCCGCACCGTAATCGCCGATCTGAAGGGCAATTTGTGGATCACCCGCGGCACCAGAGCGGTTTTCGTCGATTTTGCGGTTTACAACGGGAACCTGAACTTGTTCTGCGTGTGCAAGTAGGATCGTCTACGTCACGGTGACGTCGCGCGACCACTCGACTGACCGAAACGAACAAACCATAACCTAATATGCGATCGAATACGCGAACCCTCATAAAGACCTTAATTCCTCCGTGCAGTAGCAATGATTAATTATTCTATTCTATTCTATATTATAAAATTAAGGCGCAAAACCAAATAAAACTTTTTCACCAATACCACGAATCTAAGTCTACAACCAAATAAAATGCCAAGGTTCTTATTACAATTCATAATTTTCAAACGTTTACCGCTAATTAATAAATACATTTGGGATACCTCTTGAATGTTTAGGAGAAAAGAGAAACGCACTTCATTTTTTCACATTAAGTTGAAGATTATGCTTAGAAAAATATAGAAATAAGTTATGCAAATCCAAATTGATATAAATTGAAGCAGTATCAAATAATTTAGGATCGAAGGAGTAAAATAGCTGAGTGTCATCAGAAAATGAATCCAAATTCAAATATAAGAATAATATAGGTCCAAGGACGGAACCTTGCGGGACACCTGATGAAACAGGAAGAAATTCAGAACTTACATTGACAAGGGTAACTCTCTGATATCTGTTAGCTAAGTAGTTTTCAAAAAATCGAGTCCGTAGTAACTTAATTTGGCGCAAGTAAGTTTATGGCCAACCTGATCAAAGGCTTTAGAGTAATCTAAAGATATAAGTGCAGTCGCAAGACCATTATCTAAAAAACTAATAAAGTGATCGTTGATGTGTAAAAGTAGACTAATAGTACTAAAACCTTTACGAAATCCAGATTGGTCGTTAGTGACAATATGATTAGAAAAATTTGTAAGAAAGCATAGTACAGAAAAAAAAAGTACGAGTTAAAACAGAACCTCACTTTCTGTAGCTGGGTTGTTCGAGTTGCACTTGTTTGTGGAATTTTCTTATGTTACACAATGAACTGGAAACTAATAATCTCCCATCCTTAAATATGCCTACCAATACAAAATCGGGCCTAACATTGGGTCCTTTTTTTTAATTATATATATCAACGGTGTACACGAAATTTTTAAAAATGCCCGACTTAACTTTTTTTGATTTTTGATTCGGTGCTGTATTTGTTGTATTCATGGCTTTGTGCAAATAAATCAAGCCAAACTGAGATAAGACAAAGTATACGGTACTTTGGAGAAAATCGATTTGTAAATCTTTTTTTTTGAGGAGTTGAGGAGGATGTTTATATTAACTGGCATACAAAGGAACTTGTTTCTGAAATGTGGTCGGAGTACTTGACCCTCAGTTGAGGTTTTTGTTTCTTATCGAATTGGTAAAAAGATTGGATTTCTTTATTTCTTCAACCCAAAGAAGTGAAAAGCTTAGTTATGATGTTAGATCGAAGAACAATTTCAATATACAGTGGATAAAAGTTTATTTAGCATCCGAAGACAAATGGATATTTGCTGAGGTAGTTCGTCTTCTAAATTGTCATTAGGTTCGACTACCATCTCCACTTCGCCTCAAACTCTGCGTTGTTTTCCATGCCTTCTTCTAACAGGGGAAGATCTGCTTCATTCCAAGGTCCCCACTTTTTAAAGTGTCAAAAAACAGGAACCTTCAAAAAATGTCTGATTATAAAATTCTGATAAATATTTATCTGTATTCTTATGACGTACCTTCATCTACCATGAATATAATCCATAGTCTTAAAAAAGACTGTTGTTGTTTACAAATCGAAGAACTATGTAGAAGACGCAAAAATAGGAGAAGAATGTTGTTAATCGACAGGCAGACAAGACAAAAATGATTATTTTCAAACTTACCGTAATACAGGACAGGTACTTACCCTTACCCTCTGAACTATCCATCGGCATAGCACTGTTAAAACCCGAGAATCATGTAAATAAATACGTACTTACTGGAGGGATATTGCAATTTAGACTAAACTCTTCAGAAAGATACATATCACCTAATGTTGAAATAAACGCTTCTACTTATTCGAAAATACCCGGCAGCATCAATGCTTAATCAAATTTAAAACGGTCCACTTACTTTTCAAATAAAAATGTCAAGTTTCTACAAATATCCGTTACCGTCCATCTCAGGCGAGACCTACTTTTGCACAATATTTTTGGTCATATTATAACCGTGTCAGTAGGTTCTGCAATTTTTCTATTGATACGAATGTCTAAGACTGGGAGATTTTTAGTAGTTTCCACTTCGATAGTAAAACGTACTAAGGGACTAAGGCCCAACATACGAAAGCACCTAGAGTTTCCGTAATTTTGGTTAGTTGGTTAGTTAGTTTTGGTTAGCCTTCTAGATTCCTCCTTGTTGACGTAGGCATCTTCGGAAGATCCTTTTGAATACAAACCCCCTCCGAAATGTAATCTTAATATGCCTACATTTAAAATGTATAAAACAATTGACTAGGAAAAGAAAAATTTAAATCTAAATCTGGTACGTTATCGAGTTAGTTTGCTTTGTGTCATGGTAGGGCACGTGACGTGATCGGCATTTTCCATTTAATTTATAGGTTATGTTGTTCGCTGAGGTTAGTTAACGTTTACGTCGTGCAGCGGGCGATTTTCAGGTTGTCGTTCGAGTTTCCGCCGAGTGGGGGCGTCGTCGCCGGCGCGTCGTTCAACGCCGCTAGGCTGACGTCGCTGGACGGGCGTCGGGAATGGGCGCTACGCGTCGTCCTCTACGCGTTCGCCGCTTGTATGCTATACTACACGCTCGAAGAAGTCAGGGAAATCATCTACTTCGGCACCGAGTACCTCGCACAGTTTTGGAACTACGTCGATCTCTTCATCATCCTAGTACGTATGCCACGTGTAACGCTAGCTCGCAAATTATCTATTAGCTTCAGCTAAGATGAAGATTTTAACGAGGTATAATAGCCGTTGACTTAGATAGTGACTGGTTACTTTTTGCAAAACTTCTGGATCCCTGGAAGCCTTTGAGAAGAAAGCTACTTTTGTTATTTGACCTAATGGTCAAGAATCCCTAGTAGCTTTTCTTACATACGTTTTACCGTTGAATTAGAGACTAATAATAACCTCCGATTCTTAAATATTCGTATCAATAGACAATCAGACCTAACCTTGGACCAGAAAACTTACTCACGCAGACCGACAACCTAACGCATTGTCACATCACCATGCGGCCCAAAAGTCATCGGTTATCTACTCTCTTGTTTACAGAGCCGTAAAACTATCTCAGCCCAAGTCGCTGCACCCAGAATTAAAACATACATCTTACTTACATCTCTAATAATTTTAACATTAGAGATTTAGCGTTCCATCACAAAATACACTTCACCACAACCTCCCAAAGACAATGAGTTCGAAAGCAACTCCACACTTGCCACTTGCCTTACATTCAAAACATCTCCGACCACATATCAAAAGTTCTAAAGAAATATAACGTCAAAATCAGATTCACCATTTGTCCATAGAGGTAACAGCCAGGCTGCTGCAAATTTAGATGCGCTTGACTTCTTGTTAAGGTTCTCGCACAGATCTCTGCATGCATGGAATAAAACCCATGGCAGAGGTGGGCTGTCATGTAGACTAGCCTATGAGGAATATGAGAGCATCTTGGTCCAGCCAGCAGTTGCCCTTTCTAAGGGTCGCTTTCCGGGTTTCGAGCCCCACGAATCCTAATCTCTCAGTGAAGCGTCATATTTCTTTATCCGTACTACCTCTTTAGTACTTCTAAATTCACTTAGTAATTCTAGATTTCTCCTCTAATTATCGTCATTGAGAGAATTCAATTAAGTATCAAAACCAAATAGTGGGAGCTAACCCAACATTACATCTCAATCTGACTAAGGGTGCCTTTATCATATACTAACCAATGCAACCAGCTAGTTTCTAAACCATCCTCAAGTTATCTGCGATTTTGTGGGGAACGCTTAATTCCCCCAAAATTTACTAGCCAGGTTAGTTTTAAATATAGCGGAGTAACCACCAAACTAATGGTTCAGATCATTTATTATAAGAAAGGAAGGGTCATACTTGGAATTGATTTTGCGAAACTTCGAAACGGATATAGCTTACGTATTTTTACGTGGCGGCGACGGAGTACCTACGCGTCGCGGCGCCCGCGCGAGTGAGACAGATAATTGCGAACCCCCACGTCTACGGCAACTTAGAACACGCGGGTTACGTTGACGGAATGGTCGAAACGTCGGGCGCGGTCCTCGCCTTCCTCGTTTACATGAAGGTGTTCAAGTTTTTGAACTTCAACAGGCGCATGGCCCAGCTCAACAACACCCTCAGCCAGGTAAAACTGCGAATCTTTGAACTACTTCGTTTTTCCATTGGCTTGCGAAAACGTTTGTTGAGCTTAGTTTTATGATTAGTCTAAAATCTATATAGCGAAATTGAAGGGACTGCTTTTTTTTCGTTATAAAGGGTTATAGGCACTTGAAAAATAATACGCATATGCGTTGTGTAATATTTAATTATTTTATATACATATTTTAACATCTACTTAGGAACGATTTATATAAATATTTAAAAACTACATTTAATGTTTCAAATAATCGGTCGTTTTCTTTCTTACGCATATCGTACTCTGGCTTTCATGTTCACCATTTGTTCGAGAGGGGCATCTTTCCCATGATATATAAAACGTTTCTCTAGCAGCTTAACTGAATATAGGGCATGTTGTGAATCGGCGAATAAACACTGCCGTTATTAACCGCTGCAACGTTAAATCTAATCCTGATGTAATCTTGTGCATAAACGTACGAAAATTCTACCACGGAAAGCTTAATCAAGAGCAATGTCACAGAACACGTTTAGTGGTCCGTGACAATGTCATTGTTCTTCTTCTTAACCCGATGGTCGATAGACCAAAGCGCGACTGGCGAGTTACGGATACAAATCGTTGGTTTCAGTGCGCGAAAGATGTGGCCGGATTTTCGGTGATGTTTTTCATCGCTTTCCTTGCATACGCCGAGCTAGGCTATTTGGTGTTCGGCAGTCAGGTATGTAACGATTCGAAGCGCCCGGTGAACTTGGCTCCCGACCGACCGACTTGTCATAGAGTGCAAAAAAGAACATTGTTACCAACACAATCAACTGACCTAAGTATTAACTGTGGTACTGTGGCTAATGATCAATTATTGTTTACACAAAAAATATGGATAAATTTAGGATAACTTTATCGAAGGGCACTGCAACTCGCATTCAAAAGAATATTTTCTTATTGAAACCGAGTATCATTTCCAATATACCAGCCAAGGTAAAAGTTGACGTGTACTAACGTATCTTTCATCTTTTTTTTTTCATTTGGAATGGAAATTTATGGGCCCTACCCGACATAAGAATGTTCTGATTGCTATACAAAAGCTTTTGTTGCATTGGTGTGGCAGAAAATGTTTGTATTGATTTTTCGCCTTTACCGGTGTAAAACCGATCAAAAGTGAATGAAATGAAACAAAAATTTGAAACACGACACAAGACTTTCATCCACATTTTCAAGTAAAAGCCTGTAGGAATAACAGTTTGTATTTTTACGACAAAGGTAACCTCTATTAGGAGTTAGCACTATTTTTTTTAATAAATTTCATGGACGGCTCGCTTACAACTGGAACTCTAGCCCAACCTATGTCTATTGATTGTGTTATGCCTTAAAATGAATACACCATTCTCTTGAACCTTTCCTGATGCTTGATACTTGCTTTATTCTTTATCTTTAAAAAAACTTGAATATACACCTACAAAAAGTTAAACAATGCCATAAAATGCTTCGTTTTTTACACTAAACGTGTAAAACTCCTTTTTTAAGCTACTGTAAAATATTGAGTCAATTGTCCCTCTGTAACATTACGCGTTACCTTTTTCTGCGTTTTAAAGTAGCTACGAATTTACCGTCCAAAAGATAAATCATTTAAAATTAGTGTAAAATCTGATGTCCTAATAAAAATCGCGGATTCTAACCAAAAAAATGCAGTTTATTTATCTGTCATTCTTCTTCTTCTTTTTGACGTTGAACTTACGTCAGGCTAGACGATCACTCAATCTTTTAGTTTATCACGCATAATTTTGAATATATGTAACGCTGTTCTAAATCAGTCCTCGATACTTTGAACATTTGACACTCTGCTACCATCTCGATTTAAAATAAATATTCTCATTCGAATGATGATTTGACGGGAGGAGCCGGGTTCGCCGAGCCGGCCAGCCGGCAGTCGACGTTAGTCGTCACGTCGGCACAGGTCAGAGACTTTAGTACGTTCGGAGACGCCATGTTCACGCTGCTGCGTACCGTTCTCGGCGATTTCAACTACATGGACATCCACGAGGCGAACTGGGTCGTCGCCCCCGTATACTTTCTCACTTACATGGTCCTCGTTTTCTTCGTTTTGCTGGTGCGTAAGTCCTTCGACGAGGTTAGGGTTTGAGGCGTTTTGTTTTTTGCTTCGAGAACATGTTTTTGGCGATCATAAACGACACGTACGGGGACGTGAAGACCGACATAGCGATCGCGCCGAAGGAGATCCAAATGACCGAGTTCCTCAAACGGAAGCTGTTCCGATTGCTCTCGCGTTTCGGTTTCCGCAAGGGGACCGATGACGTCAGAGATCGGGAATTCGACGCGACCATCGACGATATCAGGAACGCCTTGAGGAGGTATACCCACAGAATAAACTCCGAACAGAAGCGACAATTGATAAGTGAGAGGGGGATTTTCTCATTGATTAATCTGTACTTTACGATATAACCTTCAAATTAGCCAACACGTCCAACGTTTCGAGTTTGACAGAGCGACTGAAAAGTGACAATTTTATATTTTGATTTTTTGACCAGTAACAAAAGTAAAATTTAATTTTAAACTTTACCCCAATGCGGACCGAAAATTGTACTGCTCTGAGTGACGTCAGAAAACGTGTTAAAAATCTAGGTTTGGATGAAAATTTGGACGCAACCACAGATTCGAATTATTTGCCTTCATATGTTCGGTTGCCCTTGCATTCTGTATTCTGAGCAGTTTCTACGTAGTATGTCTACCTATTATATTTAGGGATTTGTAATAAAAAAACTATAAGCTACCAGCAAATATTACTTTATTGTTTCTGAAAATATTCACCCCGTTGATCAATACACGTTTGCATTCGATAAAACCAATCATCAAAGCACTTTTCCCACATCGATTCGGGCACCCGCAAAACATGCTTTTTAAACGCATCAATCGCTTCTACGGGTGTCCAACAATCGTCGCCCATGTAATTTATTCTTAATGTTTGGGCATAAAAAGAAGTCATTATGTGCTAAATCAGGACTAAATGGTGGACGGCTCATCAAATCAACGTTATAAAGCTCAAAAAGTTCTTTGTTTAAACTGATTCATCACCTGTCACGATATGATGTTTGGAAGCACCGCGATCGTATTTTTTAAGCATTTCCTTCGACCAACCACCACGAGCCATTTTTTGAGCTGATATCAAATTGTGTGGAATCCAATGCCAACAAATTTTTTTAGCTGCCAAATGTTCGTGCAAAATTATATGTATGCTGATTCCACTTATGAACAAAGATACCTCAATCTCATGGTAAGTCACATGACGATCCTGCAAAATCAGTGTCCGCACTGCATCACCGATTTTGGAGGACCTACACGAAATTCATCCTTAAGAAAACTACGACCACCACTAAAGTCCGAAAACTAGCGATAAACGGTAGTCCTGATGGTCAAATTAAATTCATCGACGCATTGTTGTTGAGTTAGTCCACGTCTAAAGTTGTAAAAAATTATTGCACGAAAATGGTCCGGATTAAGTTCGTTTATAACTGTCACAATTTGTTTAATTTATCACAAAAAACAACAGTTTTCCGAAATCTAGCTGAGGAAACCTAACCTCAAAATGTCAAACTTCCCTATAAAAACGTTAGTCGCCAGATGGCAGGACAAGTTTAAAAAAATCGTGAAATATAAAAGGCAGCCTTCGTATAATAAATCTAAAGATCCGTAGATTGCAACGTTGATGTCCCATTAGCTGGGAAAGGAGTTGGACCACAGAACATCTAACGCGCTCGGATAGAAATATGTGGCGCATCTCTCGGCGCATCTGTACTGGGGTATTGACGCGCGGTTGCCATATTTCAGGTGCGGCTTCACCGACAGGGAAATCGAAATGTACTTCGCGCGGTATCGCATCGAAAGCGTGGGCGACGTCGCCGAGGAGGTCATCGACAAGTTCTTCGAGGAGTTCGGTTAGCGACCTCTACAAGTCTGAACCGTGTGGGAGACTTTTTTAAATTAATTTTTGCAAGAAAACTTATCCTTTTTTCTTAAATTCAAACTGGGGTCATCGGATATCTTTTTTTTTTTTTGCGCAAAAGGAAAACATTTGAAAATAAAAATAGTACCAGTAATAGCGATTTCCAACGATATTTTTTTGTCAAATATCTTGCGCATAACTAATAATAAAAAAAAAGCTTTCCATACGGCTCGGACTTGCAGAGACGTACGAAGTGTCTCAGTAAAGTACATATGAGGGAAACAGATGGTTCTAGTTATCTTCAATTTTCTTTTTTAGGAACCGAGTTCTAAAATTCGAAATAACCAATGCGGCCCCTGGCGTTTGTTTCGGAAACGCGAATTATTTCTGTTGATCGTTTTAGTTTTGTCCGACTTTTTCCCAGTAGCATTGGCAGTAACAATTCAGTTTCTTTTTCAGTGAAAAAAATATCCTTTATAAGGAAATTTTTGCACTTATTCTATCTTTATTTTCAAAAATAATTAACAGTTGACAATTTTTGGGAGTTTTGAGCGCCAGGTTCACTTATTGATATTTTGGGTTAGGATTAAGATATTGAGTTGCGGTTTTCACCGAGTCGTTGGTTCAGCCCTCATGTCTCACCACCCACGTCCCTGCGTTTGTCCTTTTTTCCGAAAAAATTTTTTTTGCTGAAAAAAAATCCTTTAGGACTAAATGTTTTTGCACTTATTTTAGCGTTATTTTCGAAACTCATTAACACTTTTAGAAAACAAAACCTTAGAAATTTCGGAAATTGGCAGGCGTTAAATACCACACGGACAATAGAACATTTTTTGGAAGTTCTGAGTCCATTTATTGAAATTTTGGGTTAGCATTAAGATATCGAGATGCGGTTTTCATTGGGGCGTTGAGCAATCATTTGACTATCTTATGACGTAAAAAATCTCACATCACCTCTTTGATAAAAGTTAGTCAGGTCTCATTAAACGGAAAACATTTGCCTTAACTTCGTAGAAGCTTTAAAATTGGAGATAACAATTTACGCCCTCTGGCGACCGTTTCGGAAACCCGACCATATTTTCCGGCATTTTCTGTTGGCCGATTCGCTCGGTATTTCTTTTTCCGGCCGTCCGTTTCCCGAACGCCGTTTACTGGGACACCCTGTATATATGGCGACGCGACGTTTCTTCCTTTCAGCCAGGGAGGAGGAGGAGTCTAAGAAGGCGACCGCGGCGGATTACGTGCGCGCCAAAGACTTCCTCGGGTGAGTCTACGCCCACGAAAAACTCCATTTTCTATTTTCCCTGTGACGTAGGCAAACCGAGCAGCTCGAGCGTTTGGAAAGGGGCGTGGTCGAGCTCGCGCGGCGGGTGCGCGACCTCTTGACGGCCGTCGAGGGAGTCCAGAAATAAAACGACACCTCTAATATAGCGATATTATCTTTATTACAAACAAAAAAAATATATATATATATGTACATCGCCCTCCATCTTTGATACAATACATTTACAATACCCTAAGATCAGTCAACGTTACCTAAAAAAAAAACAAGAATAATAATGGCGCCATCTCGCGGCGACCGTGAGCATTACGAAATGTTTGCGTGATATACGGGGTGATTTCTTTTTACCGCACAAACGGGCGACGAGCCCGGCAGAAAGAAATTTCCTTTCTTTCCATCCTTCTCGAAATATACGCCGGCCGTTAAGCCCACAATCCCCCCCCCCCCCGGCCTCAATCGCGATTTTTAATATATAACTTTTGCAGCCACCCTGTATATTGCGGATTCGAATGAGGAGCGAGGGGCGGCAAATTGCGAGAAACGCCCGGTATATCTTCTTTAGTTTATGACGGCGCTCCCAAACAAAGATAAAACATACACATTATTTATATATATGTACAGGGCGGGTCGAAAAGATGGCTTCGCCTCGCGATGGCAGACGTTTAACAATATCTGGGACTTTGTGGGTTCTCAAGTGTAAAAATTACGGCTACTCAAACATATTAAAATGTTTGAAAATTTGCAGCCGACGCAAATAACGTTGCATTTTTTGTTTATTATTCATATATAACCTCAAAACTGCCGTCCATGCATTTCTGACGAAAAAAATATGCGAAAACATCTTTTTACCGTGATAATCACCTAAACCCAAGTTTCAATGAAACATATAAAGGTGCTATTAAAAAATAATAATAATAGTGACGCCCTGTACTATAGAAAATCAAATACAGTCGCGAATCTTTTCGACTCGCCCCGTATAAAGGCGCGGCCATCTTAAAAAAATACGGACCTAACCTAAAAACAGCGGATGACGTTTATACCGATGACGCGCACTCGCGTGGGTATACCTATCACAGTCCAGCACAGCGAAACGAAGTTACCGGATTACACGCTACAGGGGAGAAAGAGAGAAAGAAGTAAAAAATAAATAAAAGTGAAAAAGTTTTTTTTGTGGCGCGAAAAAAAAAAAGTGGAATGTTTTCGCCCGTCTTCGGAGTTTTCCCGCGCAAATTCGGTTCGTGTTCGCCAAGCCTTAAAATCTTTATATTTTCGAAAACATAAAAATTTTGGATATCAAGGCAAAGGGGTTGAAATATTAAATATCTCAGAAACGAGAACAGAGAACAAATTGGTAGCCATTTTTCATCATCTCTGCAGTTTTTTCCGTTACTACCAAAATAATAAAAGTGAAAATTAAAAAAAAATGAAACTGTACGATTAAATGACCATTTTTGAAAAAATCGATTCTTAGCGCGAATTTTATATTATTTTTTATATTCGCCTACAATTTTTATGCATTCGGATATGTAGAGTATCTAGCAAAGTTGTTTATAAATGTTTCTATAAAATACTATAAAGCGTAACTAAAAAAAAAAAGATATTAAAATGTTAAAAAAGTTCCAGTGTCAGTGGGCATTTTTGAAAAATATATTGCACACCCTATTATCTTTAATATTGCGTATTTTTTAATTTTTCGATAAAAAAAAAGCTGGAGAGTAGAAAAACTTGTAGTTTCGGCGGCTGTTCGCCAGTGGCGTGCGAACACGGGCGTCGCGTTCGGACTCCTCCGTTAGGGGAACTCAAAAAAAAAAAAATTAAAAAGGCGGCGCGGCGTCGCGCGGGCCACGCCCCCCGCTCATGTCGGACGTCGTCTCCAGCGAGTCGCACTCCGCGAGATCTTCGCCGCGCGAGCGGCAACACGAGCTGACGGTGTCGCCGCTGTCGATACTGTCGAAAAATTCGGAGCGCCGCCGCCAGGGGGCGCCGCTAGGGGGCGCCGTCAGCGAGTCCGGATACTCGCTATATGAAGAGGGAATCCATCGAAACGGAGATTTTTCTTTTGCCCACGCAAAATTTGGATCCTGCAAGCGGAAAACGTGCGCCGTGGAAAACTTTCGGTATTAACGGGTACTCCCCAAAACAATACTATACAGGGTGTTCCCAATTCCAGGGTGTATTGTAATGTTGTAATTTAGAGAAACCCGTGTGTTACACTTTCCGGTGTCTCTTAAAATATTGAAGACGCTCCCGTACCTTATTTTGAGTATTTTTTGTGAGAAAAATGAACATTTTCCTTTTTTTTGCAGAAAAACAGGTCTTTGGAAAAATGTGTTTTTTTTTTACAATAAAATTGGGAATTTTTATTATGGACGAATACTTTTGCCTGTCTATAGCGAAAATATATTATACCAATTAAAAAAACGATAGCGATTTAAAATTTGGAAGGTCTCAACCTTTCAATCATGCCGACTTGATGATGAATATAAGCAAAGCCACCAAAGTAATATTATGTTTTTATAAAAATGTATGTACTTATCTGTTTTTTTTTCTTCCTGTGAGCTTATTTTTTAACGGAGTTTGAAAATTTTGGGGTCAAAATGTTGCAAAAAAATGACGGGTTTTAAAAAGTTCCCACTAGGGTGCTATTTGAAAAAACTAGGTTATCATAAAAAATTAATTCTTTATAACATTATTTGCCATTGGACAATTAAAGAAAAGTATCATTTACAATTTCTCATAAGATCAGGTGACCCGGTAAATAATTTTTATGAGGGTCACAGCCTCCTATACAAAATTTTCAAAAATTAAATAAAAATTAAGAAAAAAAAAGAAACCCAAAAAAATATAGGTTGTGCCATTTAAAATTCGGAAGTTACTATCGTTTGCGCTCAAACCGAAAGTGCGACCACTGCCATTGTCAAAAAATTGGACATTCAGCCTATATTAACCCTTAATATTTCGAATTTTAGTTTTCAAGTGTAAAAAAAGCACATTTTTTCAAAGACCTGTCCTTTCCGAAAAAAAAAAATGGAAAACTTCATTTTTTTCAAAAACTACTCAAAATTTCGGATCTTATGCAGTGACAAAAATTCAAACATAAATACATACATAAAATTACTTTAAATAAAATATATATTTAGGGTCAAAAACTTTTTATATTTCACTTTTTTTTTTTCACTTATTGAGATAAGGTATAGGAGCATCTTAAATGGACCGCCCCTTTACTCTCGACACCTTTTTACAAATTATTTCTATTCCGCATTGTATATTAATTAATTGGGCTCGTTTTTTAACGCCTTTTTAACGAGCTATGGTCCCACCTTACCAACACTTAATCCATGGATATATTAAAATGAGGAGAAGGAAAAGATTCCGATTAATTTCAGAGAAGTTCGGAAAAACCTTTTCTATTGAACCATTTCGTTCAATACAAGTTGGCATTATTAAGTTTTAAGTATGACGTTTCTGTTTTTTGCGCTTATCCTAAACACAAATTTTTCAAATACAGACCTGTATTTTTTATTTAACATTTTGAAAAAATACTGCGAACCTTGCGATTTTTTTCATTTTTTAAAAAGTTTCCCGACTAGAACCAGAACATCAAACCATATTCCACCCCGCCAGGAACGACAAAAACCGGATCATTTCATCAATAAAATAAAAAGAAGTAAAAAAACAACTAAAAAATAAAGCAAAAAAAAAAACGAAGAAATGAAGAAATCTGTAAAAGACATGGAAGGGCATGAAGGGTAACAAAAGCTAAAGGTAACGGTTGGGGCGACTGTGGAAATGCTAAAAGTCACCATCATTATCATCAATCATAAAAAACTCCAAAGAACAAGTCGACATTATTTGAAACGCTGGGTTTCATCCTAAGGTACAAGAAGAGAAATATCTAAAGCAATAAACGGAAAGTTGCGGGACACAACGATAGGTGGAAGGAGGTGATCGCGGGAAAATAAAAGGGACAGATGAAGAGCGCAGATGCGATGGGCAGATGACGACGAAGAAGAAGAAGATAACGATGAAGAAGAAGATGATGATGATAAAAAAGATGACAAGAAGAAGAAAAATAAAAGGGTAAGGTAAGTAGAAAAAAAAAAGAATTTAGGCTTTAAAATCGATTGGTCCATAACACGATTAAAAAAATCCATACCTTGTGTGGCTTTTACTTAATTTTTGCCAAACTTCTCCTAACTAATGACTAAAAATAATTATTATCAGTAGTCAGTTTGAGTATTTGTTAAAATAAGTCATCAAAAATGGTGGAATTTGGGTATGCTCAGAACGTTAATCGAAAAAAGAAGTAACAACGTACCCTTTCTAGGGAAAACCGTAAACGTGGCAACATCCCCGGCATATCAAATTTCTTAATATACTTAATATAAGATTATCGTAGCTATACGGCAGAAAAACCAAAGCGAAGCAATAACAGGCAAGTCCAAGCAACGTCACGCTACCAAAGATCGGTCAGAGCGATTGTGCGGTTACGTCATAGCATGACATCTTTATGTAGTTCATTGCTGAGACATGTTGGATTACGTCACTGCACAGCTGCGCTCACCGGAGTATACCACTACTACTACTACTACCATAATGAGACCAAAAATATAGTGCATTTATTGCTTTCACGTTGCAAGTATTTTACCGCAAATCTTCGCGGGACCATCCCAACAGATATTTGTGATTTATGACAAAGACCAATGAAGTTACGCACATTGTTGGATGACTGTGTTACCTATTTTTCTCTTTTTCACGCCCATCTAACTTACAGTTCTCTGAGGTAATTTTGCCACAGCAGACCGGGCATTTAAACTCCAAAAGAATGTTGTTCGTTTGATTGCCGGTGCAGGTTGTTATCTGGAGCACTGTCGACCAATTTTTAAAAAGTTGGAAATTATGCCACTTCCTCGTCTGTATATTTATTATCAATTATTAGAAATACGCGAAGACATAGACAGCTTCAGTACTCTATAGACTATTTCACTAGAAATAACAATAACAAATAAAAGTTCGAAAGTAATCATTTTTGTCTTGTGTGTCTGTCGATTAACAACATTACTCTTCTTGTATTTATAAATAGTTTCTTAACTATCCCAAAGGTTGGATAGGGAGCGGCGGAACTATGGATTGGCCAGCGAAGAGCACCGACTTAGCTTTAATGGATTTTTTCGTTTTTTTTTTTCAATCAGTTAATAGACAATTCGGAACCGTTACTAAATGCAAGACATCTTAGCAAGCAAAGATAATCGCGGGGTCGGTTGTAAAAGCACTATATTTCTGGTCCAAGTATACTACTACTACCCCCCCCCCCCCCCCCGCTACTGGAAAAAAGCGCTCAGGCGGCATAAATCAAAGAAGCGTGTGTGGTGGTCTCACTTACTCCGCCCGGCGGTCAAACAGAAAAACAACAAAACGTCCAGCTACTGATTGCCGTCCCGCCTGAAGAAGTTCCATATGGAGGAACCTGTTTTGGACCGTACCTTTTCGTCTTTCTGTTGCTGCTGCTGCTGCTGCGGAGGCGGCCACTTCTTCGTCTCGACGTTTCGCGACTTGGAGGCCGCCCTACCCAGGCTGCCGTTGCTGCGCCACGAGTGATGCGCGGAATCGCCGCCGCTGCGGCTGCGCTGCGCGGCCGGACTGCGTTTACCTGCGGGAACGGTGCTCGGTGTGCTGAGATGGCAAAACGTGCCCCGCCCCATCCCTACGTGTGTCGCGTGTGTCAAAGGAGTAAAACAGCAATAACAACAAGATTGCTTTCGAAAAATCGTGGCAGTGCGAATCGTCTATTGCCGTACTATGCGGTACGCAGTCTACAAAGTCACTACGAAGCTCTTTATTTTAAATGCTCTTTGTCCTAGAGGAACGCATTGTTTTTCTATCGTTGCTCCTGCAGACCGCTATGGAAGTTTCTCAAAATCGATGTCATTATATTATATAAAACCTGAAACTCTCGCGACGAAGTTTACGATACTGTTCAAATAAAATTATTTTATTATATTTTTTGGGAATTTTCATTTACGCCTAATAATCTACTCTGAAAATGAACAATTTTCAGGGCCTTTTAAGATTTATAGTATCGAATCTTCCGCGTCTCTTGGTAAAATAATTTTGCCGATCAGGTTAATAGTTTTTCAGAAATTTGTTTTTTTTTTCTGGAAGATAAAATAAAAAAAAACAAAAATTTCAAAAATTAAAAAAAAATACTAGGCAAGTCTTGATTGCTCCCAGTTTTTACGGTTTAGATGTGGGCGTGGCCTTTCACTTCTCTGCTAAATTTGAAGTCGATAGTTACAAATTTAAGACATCTATTAATACAATACAATTTGAGAAAACTTAAAATACAAAAGTTTTATCAGTCCATACGAACTATATGGTCGCGTGAAAGAAAATGGCAGCTGAAATACAGCCTTCAAGTTATGGTCAATTATCCTTATAAGGGGAACCCACTTTTTAGGTTTTTGCAATTTGCCGGCGCACACTGTACATTTTTAAAAAATCATCAAGAATAGAATGGACAGTCTTCTGGTTCAAGAATTTTTTTGATCGGGTATACCATTCTTGAGAAATCATTTTTTCTCGATACCCTGCAAACGCGGTTTTCAAATTTTTAAAAATACTTCCCGACCCCTCAGCCCCCCCAGTTTCAATAGGCTCCGTTAGAGGACTAAGCTCTATATTTGTGCCAAGCTTGAAATCGATAGCTGCAAATCTCGAGTTTCATAGCGATGTACGAAAATCACAAAAAAAGACAGATGCCAATTTCCAATCGCGGCCATTTCCTATGGGCTTATGTGTCTCGTCGCCAAAGGAGAAAAATTTCAGTATCCGGGCTCCAACGGTTCCGAAGTTTTTTGCGTTTTTATGAAGCGTCTACAGAGAACGGAGAACGGAAAACAGAGAACAGACAAAAAAATGAAAAAGGCTTTTTTTTTTTCGACGCTGATTCCATCTGTACCAATGGTGACGCTGTACGACGCACCGTTTCCGAGATAAGCTAGTATATTTTCAGCCATGCGAAAAAAACTGACAACACAATCACAACCTTCTAGTTATGGAACCCAATTTTCAGTTTTTTGCAAATTACCGACACACCCTGTACATTTTTAAAAAATCATCAAGAGAGTTTTTGATCTGGTTCTTGGGCGTCTTTTGGTTAAAACATTTTTTCGATGGTATACGCCGTTTTTGGGAAATAATTTTTTTTCTCGAGATCCTGCAAATGCGGTTTTTTTAATTTTTAAAAATAGTGGAAAATGGCGACAAAAAAGGTCCGACCGCGGCCATTTCTTACGGAATCACGTGTCCCGTGGGTCGTTTAAAAGGATTCAAATTTCAGCTCCCTCGCTCAAACCGTTCGGAAGTTATTCGCGTTTTTACGGAGCGTCTACAGACAACAGAAAACGGGGAACGGAGAACAGACAAAAAATTAAAACGTTCATTTTTCGTGTGTACTTTTGAAAAGAATCGACCCCGTCGACTTCCCGAAAGTAACGGGAACGCACGTACCTGCCTGTTTCGGCGGCGTGTAACTCTTCAGTGGTATTTTGCTGGGCCGCCGCTTCTGCGGCTCCTTGGAGCGGCGATCGGACTCTGCGTGGTCGTGCGCCGACTCGGTGCTGCTGCTGTGGTCTTGCTGCTGGATGTGGATCGGCAGCATCGCCTTCATGCTCTCGCTCGTTATCTCGGTACGAACGAAGGGCTGCTGCTCCGACTCTGGCACGACGTCCGGCGAGCCTTTCGGCTTGTGCAGGTCTTCGAGGAGGCGCGCCCGCGCCCTCGTCCCCTCCAACTCGATGGTGCGGTCGGCCAGCTGGAACCTCAGCTCGTCGTTCTCCTCCCGCGCCTTCTCGAGCTTCCGCGCGAGGTCGCCGACCCCGTCCACCTTTTGCCTCAGCACCTGGTTCTGCACGGTAGCTACGAGCAGGTGTTTCTTGAGCACCAGCGGGTCGTGCTCTTTCAAAATGGCGGCGATCTTCGCGCGATCCGGCCCGGCGACCTTCGGCGCGCGCAGCTGTGGCTGCTGCTCCGCACTTTTCGCGCCCTTCGCGACGAACTGCACGTGGAGGTCGTGGATGCGGGAGTTGATCTCGCCGCGTTGCGACGCGATCGCCCTCAGCTGCTCCTCCAGGTCTTGTTTGGCGACGAGCAGGCGCTCCATGTCCTCCTGGAGGCGAGTGGTGCGCATACGGCCTGCTACCACTTCCGCCTCCATTTCCGCGAGTCTGTCGAGCAGGAGGTCGCGCTCGGTGCGCAGATGAGCCACGTCGTCCGCGGACGCGCGAAACAGGACCCTCTCGAAGTTATCGTCCTCTTCTTCCTCCTCCTCCTCGGCTTGCCGTTCCCTGATGGTGCTCTGTAACGCTTCCACTTCCTCTTTGAGTCGCGTGCCCTTTCTCTGGATCACGTCCAGCAGGTTCCAGAGCTCGTCATCGACGGCGGAGGAGGAGGAGGAGGCGGTCTCCTTGCTGGACGCCTCCGTGCTGAACCCGGAGTCTTGCACGGCGCCGGAGTCTTTGCCGGGCTTCTTCTCGCCCCCGCGCCTAACGGGGATGTTCGACAGGTGGTGGTGGTGGTGGTGGCCCGTCGTCATGGTGGTCGGGGTGGAATGGGCGGAAGTTTGCTGGGCCATTTTGGTGCGTAAGTTGGGGAACGTTTCCATGACGAGGTCGCGGAACTCGAGCAACGCGCCGACCTCGTGCTGCAACTCCTGCAGCGCGACCAGCGACTTGGCCTGCTCGCTGATGAGGTAACGGAAGGGGGCGACGGCCGCGACGCCATGCCCAGCGTCCGCTTGCTCCACGGCATCGGAACCCTGAAGCAGAGAGGGCGAGATTCTTAATCTTTCGATTTTAAATAAGCGCCCGTTTCTGATCAATCCGTTTCTAAAAAATAAATCAACATTTTTGAGAAAAGAATCAAAATTTCTGAAAAATAAGTCAACATTTCTGAAAAATGAACCAGAATTTCTAAAAAGTAAATAAGCATTTGTGAGAAACAAATCAAAATTTCATTACGATAAGTCAACATTTCTCAGAAAAAAATCAAAATTTCACCAAATTTCAAAAATCTTGTTTCACCAATGGGTTCACCTGTTTTCGAGTGAGGGTGAAATCTACTAAATTTATCACATCCATAGTTGGAGTACTGGGAAATAAGTTTTGTGCATCAATAAACAATAATATTGGGTTAGAAGGGATTTTAATATCTTTAACTGTGTTGATTTTTTTTTATATTGCCTCTTGTTTTCATATTGCATTTTTTCTATCATTTGCTTCCATATGGGAGGCCAAAATGCTCATGACTGTATAAAACTAGAACTAGAAGACTGTCAGTGAAACTGTTCCGTTGTCCGACTCCCGAATAGTATTGTATAACAATGTGCTGATGCCTGGCTACTGTTATATGTGTTCTTACTGTCGTGTCGACTCCTATATTGATATTAATATTTTGGAAAACCAATGTTTGTCATACTAGAGTTGGGTCTTTATCTATTTCACTGTTTTATTTACGAATTACGTTTTTTGATCACCGTAGCAGAAGAAAATTCATCCTTAGAAGAAAGCTTACCAAGAGTTTCCATATTCTATAGACAGGATAAAACGGTATCTATAAGTTTTAATAATTTGTATCGTAAAGTAAACACGTGTCTACAGAGTTGGAGGTTCGAGTACACGCAGCGCAGCCAATCTGGGTCGTATTTCTCTTTCTCTCTCTCACACGCTCGCAACTTTGTGTGTTTACCGACGGGAGCGTCGAAAACAAAAACGAACAAATTAACACCGCAGATGGCGTACATTTACGATACACGAGTATATCTCTATATATCGCGAGCTGAAACGAGAAAATCTGAAAGTATTGACCTCGTCTGCGACCTACAAGTTCAATACGATCCGCGTGGGTTTCGATTCGAAGCAAAAATTAATTTTTATCTCGTCGCCACGTCATACGTGCATCGGTCATTGCTTTTCGCGTTGACTTTTCCGTTTCTAAATGGCGACTATTCGACCAATTTCGACAAATCGAAGTTTCAACTTTATGTCCCGTGTTAGAACCATCCCGCCCTCAAGTCTACCACGAAGAGAAAAAAAATCCTTATGTATACTTGGTTGCCTATAGAACTACGACAGAACATAAATTGCTAACAATATATGATTAAAATTAAAAATCATTATCATTAAACATCATTCCTATCTTTCACTATTTTTCTCCTTTCTGTGACGTGTACTCCCACAGATTTGTTGCGCTTTAAAGAAAAACCTATTTGCGTATACATGGTTGCCTATAGAAGTAGGATTGAAAACGTGTTCATCATCATTATTTCCTTCAGTCATTTCTCTCCTCTCTGTGATGCGTCTGAGGGAACACACCACTTTTTAAAAATAAAACTATACCGGGTGACAACAAAAAAAGCCACCTAAGTAATATTTTGTTTTTATAAAAATGTATTTACTTATCTAATTTTTGCCTTCCTGCGAGGTTATTTTTTAACGCATTTTGAAAATTTTGATGTCAAAATGTTGCAAAAAAAGTACGGTACCGGAAAAGGTTTTTGCTTATAGTGAAACCTTGGTATATCATGCCCTCTTGTTTTTATGTACTCGTTAATATTCTGCGTTCACTTCGATCCCATACGTCCTCCAGACCGGTGACTTCAACACGACTCTTTCGTAATCGTAATTACGAAGGCGTGTGCTTTTGTGTGTGTGTGTGTGTTGTGCCGTCGCAAAAGTCGTTATTAATTCGCGTTTAATCGCGTTGCATTAACCTTTCGAGAGGCGATGACTCAGTCCGCGATATGCAGTAAAAGGCGTCGAAAATAGACGCGTGAGCAAAGAATTCTTCGGCTTATTCGATAAGTCACTGGAACGTACGTTAAATACGAACGAATAGTGCTAAATAAAAACGAACATTTATCATCGATAAATTAAATACAGTATAATAGATAAATGTAACAGTAATATGCAACAATAGAAAGTTACGAAAAGTAAAAATAAAAGGAATAACATTGAAAATCAAATTGTTTGAGAAGTTAGCAGTTTCAACCTGAATATTTTTTAGCATTAAGTTGAATATTATGCCTAAAAGAATATAGAAATAAGTTATGCAAATCTAAATTGATATAAATTGAAGCAATATCAAATAATTTAGGAACGAGGGATTAAAATAGCTGAGTTCCATTAGCAAATGAATACAAATTCAAATCTTAGATGGATGTATAAATATCAGCAAATATAAATTAAGAATAATATTGTCAAGGGTAAGTTTCCGATGTCTGTTAGATGTTAGTTATAATCGAAGCCGTAGTAACTCAATTTGGCGAACATAAGTTTATGGTTAAGCCGATCAAAGGCTTTCGAGCAATCTAAAGATATAAGTGCAGATGAAGTATGAATCGTCTCTTCTTCTTCTTCTTCCAACGAATTTTTCTTCTGTCTTTTTGTTTCAGGCTCATAGATCCATGTGCCTCTACAGATGTTTTTTTTTTTACGATCATGCAATATATTATTGATGCTTGATGCATATTAAGGCCCAAAAAATGCTCACACGACGAACTCGCATTATCAGTTTACGCACAGCATTGATGTTTTGTGGCGCCAGGTTCATCGCCATATAATTGATAATTGATTATGGATCAAAACTTTTTGAGAAGATTTATGTCAGATGTCATGTTAATTGTATGATAATGACCCCCCTTATATCTATGAACAGACCATACCTTTTTTAAATACTGGTATTACGTGAGCTTTATTTAAAATGTCTGGAAAAGTGTTGAACATTTTTATTTTTGAGACTATTTACGATTTCCCTAACTTTATTAAAACTACGTTCAGCGAGGGTAAAATGAAATGACGGTTCAATTTGATCCAAATATAAAATGCGATCTATATTGGACGCAGTACCCTTACTTACAAGAGACTGAGCGATATTTTCAAAATAAGTGTTGAATTCATCAACGGTTATGATATCTGATGAAGGCTTTCCTGTACGGATTGCTCTTTTTTTATTTGTAGCATTTTTATATTCTTAGTATTTGCTTTTTATATTCTTTAATATTATTACATTTTCTCTGGAAATTTATCATTTAACGTTTAAATTGTTATCGAAAGACCCTCGTATCGTCGCGGCGTCGGGCGATTCGCACCCTTCGCCGCCGCTACGTTTCAAGGTCATTAATTAAAGACGCGATTTCGTTGTAACGGCGGCCTCGAGCGGAACCTCCGTCGAATGATCGTTAATTACTTCGCGTAAAATCGATTAGCTGTCAAATTGCGTTTCGATTGTTTCATTGCCGCACCTGCAAACGCAGCGATCGATACTTGAAGGATTTGAATTGAAAAACTCATTTTTAACTTTTCAAAGAAAACTGAAGAAAGTTAGCAGACGGTTAGAAGATCACCGACCGAAACTGGTAAGATTACACTGTACACTGGCCTTTGTTCGCTTTATTTCGACATAGAGTTCCTCATACCCTTAAGGAAGACTCTTTTGTCCCCATCCGATTATACCCTTTCAAACATAATTCATGACAAAGCTGAAAAATCTTCATTTATATTTTTCCCACTGACGTCAACACTAGTGAAACCATCAAGCTCTTCTCAATTACTAAACACCGTGGGTATAATAATAATAATAATAATACAATATTAATACATTTGTTGTTGTCCCAAGAATACGTTTCATATTACAATAACTTGGGCAACAAAAGGCTTTCTTTGAAACACAAGTGTCAGACATCTGGAAGAATCAGATGTGGTCTGTTCATAGATATAGGAAAGTGATCAATTGCTTTTGAATGCGATTATCCAAAGGTGGTCATTAACGTACAATGCAACAAGGTTATTACCTAAAGTTTCGGAATTTAAATTCAGGTAAAATTGTGGTCCGTAATAAAAAATAATTTTATACCAACCTGTGTTTAATATTCTTTGGTATGGTATATTACTTAGTTTAAGTTTATTAGTAATCATTCTTATCTGTGCGTTGAATTGTGTGCGAATTATGCAAAATATGTGCGAGTCTGGTGTATCTCAGGAGATGCTCCCGCCCAAATGTGGAATACACTATTCCATTGAGACTAAGGAAGTTTTCTCTTCTTTAAGTGCCGTCTTCGTTGGCAATCATCAGTGCTATTCGTATTCGTGACACGGCCGACCGAAATAGTTGGTTTGTGGTGCACCCGAACCAGTCACGTAAGTTTCTCATCCATGAGTGACGCCTTCTTCCTACACTTCTCTTTCCTTGTAATATCAGTTGGAGTAGTTGGTACTTTTCTCCTCTCATGACGTGTCCAAGGTACTGAAGTTTACGCTTTTTTACCGTAATGATAATTTCTTTTTCCTTTTTTATTCTTTTCAGGATTTCCATGTTGGTCATTTAAGTATTCTACGGTACAACCACATTTCGAACGCCTCCAGTTTCCTTATGTCCAGTTTCTTCAGAGTCCAAGCCTCTACACCATAGTACAGTACCGACAAAACATAGCAAGGAAGTTTTAAACAATGTTTATCTGACTCCCATTGAACGTGGTGCCAGCAAGAAAGCATCCTGTTGAATGGCGTGTAGAACCCGCGTAGCATCTGCGGACCAGTCTCCTCAGCAGACTTATCGTCATTCAAAAGGTCTTTAATATATTCAGTCCAGCGCATCAGCTGTCGCTTGACATCCGAAATAATACTGCCGTCGAAACTTCTCAATACAATAGACTGCCTATATTCCTTCATTCCGGTCATCTCTTTCAGCTTCCTATGCTCGTACTCCTCTACTTCGTCGCACTCTCCCTCCTTGACAGATTTTCCGCCGTTCACTTTGCGG